AGCAGATCCAGACAGAACAAACTCGGGGAGTGGAATTGACTTGGGGCAATTCTTTTGATTTTATTTGACCCTAAGTGCAAGAACCTCAGTGTGTCCATTCCAACAAGCCAGGCGGGGTCTAGAATGTGCAACAAGTTGTTTTCAAGGTTCAACATTCTAAGGCGAGCTAAGTGCTTGAAACTCCCTGGATCTATCTTCCTGATTAGGTTGTTTGTCAAAGACAGCGAATCGAGCAAAGTTGGGTCATCAAACCAGGTCTGCTTGATGTGTGTTAACCTGTTGAAATCTAAGAACAGTATCTGTAAACGAGTAAACCCCACCAGGGTGTTGTTTCCTACATCTGTGATTTTACCTTTTATCAGGGCCAAAGTTTTAACCGCAGAATGATCAAGAGGTGATAGTTTAGTAGCTAAGAGAACATCAAATCCATACCCTCTTACTGCGAGGATTGATAGAAGTAGTGCAGGGTAGGCCTCAACAACATGAAACGGGTTTCCAGTAGCAGAACTGCCATTCAAGTTCTTGCACATCACACAAGTCCCCGAGTGCAGCATGGAAAATCTTTCCATATTTTCTGTGAAAGGTACACATGATAACCACTGAGCTATGCTACATTGAGTAGAAGAGCGTCCATCAAACCCTGCACAACCGTAGCCAAATGCCAAGATCAACAGTATGACTGAATGTTTGGACAGAATAGATCTTAAGTACATGCTAAGGCTTCCTTTCTATAGGACTGAACAGATCTGTCACTTACCCTTCTACCCCACTGACAAGAGGCTGCTTACTTTTCTGTCGTGGTTGTCTGTATTCTACAACTTTTAGACTGCAAGACGAATCAGTACGGTACCAAATTTCATTCTGGATCTACTTCAGAGCCAACCTGCTCTTTTAAATGTTCTGATAGCGTATCCTTAGATTAGACTGGCTATAAAATATCAAATCGAAGTGTCGTCGGGTACTAACAACAAGAAGACAATTGGGCGACCGTTTGACATATTGAAAATGATTACCAGTATTGCATACATACTGCAGCAATTATTGATGCCCAGACCAATCCAAAACTTGTAAACTAGCTAGAACCTTCTGCTTTCTTCTTGTTTTTTTTTTACAATGCTCAATGTTATCGAATTGCCTGCATTGCTGATTGAACCAAAAGGCTAGTATCATCAAGTAGCTGACAAAAGCAATAACTTAAAGTTGTTTGCACATTCTCAAGAGTGTTGATCCTGTTGTATTATAGGTCTTTTAGGTACAAAAGTGTCAACGCTACTATCGTTTGGTTGTTGATGGCTAAGGGTATAATTTTATGGAAAGTATTTTTTCCTTTAATGCTTAGTTTGTATGCCCTGTGGTGAGAGTAAAATCTTGTCGTAAAGGGTTCCTAAATTTCATAATCTATTGAGGTTGTTATTCGGGTTTTCGAATTGGCTCACAAAGTCTAAGCGAGTGGATATAATCAGTTTCGCATTTTCGTTTCAGCACCTTTTTTTCAATTTTCCGTTTTGGTAGAATCGAATATTACATGTATATCACAGCAGTATTTCTAAAATACTTAAGCGTATGGAGAGACACACACTGCGATGTGTTATGTGTTCTCAGGGTCCTCTGGCCATTATGTGTTAGGTAGTGTTGAGATGGACGCACGCTGTGGTGTGATTCCGGTTCCCTACCCTAGGTTCTCTCTCTGTCAGTAGGTGTAAGGTAGTGTGAGGGGCAGCGAAGCACGCCGTTGCGTGTTACAGACTCCTTTCGCTAGGATCTTCCAGGGCCAGAAGTTGTTCGGTAGTATGACGAGGGGAAGGGTACTCTCCAAGCAGAGGTTGTGGGGGAATGATCGTTAGCTTTTTTTATATTGCCGTTTTTTTTGTCGATAATCCCACCACCGTCGGTAGCCGGCGAACTTCTCTGGCAAATGGATACTGTCTGGCCAATTTGATACTGTCTTTTTGCCCCCGAAAGGGATCTGCTTGGAGATTAGGGAAGGGACGCACGCCTTTCCAGTCCCTTTGTCTGTCCTTTTTTGCTGACTGGTGGTATTTGGAGCTGTCCCGTATACACCTCTAAAGCTGCTTTATTCACAGCAGATTCTCTGTCAGCTACAGAGTAATGACTACAAAATGCGGAAACTAAATCAGCCTGGTTAATCTTAATACCGTCACCATATGGAGTACTACCTGTACAGAGTGATAGGTCTGCAGCGGCAGCATAGAGGAGATTAGGTTTCATACCATCATCCTCATGATCGGGGATTTCACAGTAAGTGTGTGGGATGGCAGACTGATCAGCAGCTACAGCATCTAGAAGGTTGTAGGTAGGTGGAAAGGCAGGGAGAGGTCGCTGTGCAGCCGCTACATTATCTGGGATCACGCTATAAGTAGGCTCAGTGGAAACGAGAGCAGAGGGTAATGACTTACAGGAAGTTGTATCTTCCTGGATCTCCTTCTTTGTATATCTTAAGGCAGGTAGAGAAGCTGACCTACATGCACGCAACGCTGAGGAGGCAGTGGCTCTGCGGGTGTGTCTGTTGTACTGCACTTTGTACAATCTCAACTTGAGTGCTACAGATGCAAGGCCTGATATTGATAAGACAACAACTGCTGCTGCTGGAACAACAACTGAGAAAAGACCATGCCAATTGCCCAGCGTGGGAGGAGCTGGAGACTGATTCCTTGTATCGATTCTATGGGTGGTGACTAACACCTGGGGTTCAGTTTCTACCCTGGGAGTCGTAAAGAACAACTCCGTGTAGTTACCATTTTTGAACAGAATGCAGCTTATGTTTTTTGAATTGTCGCGTGTACCATTTGTTTGTGTGATGCGCTTGTTGCCAAGTGCCATGGCAACATTTGTTGCGCTTGCCCCGATGCTAACCAGTTGAATGACTGAGTTATCTCCCATGGCCACTGTAACGCCCTTGTCGTGTTCCCACACCTGCCTGCACTGATCTACCATGTCCGATCTCTCCTGTGTGCGTGCTGGGGAGACATCAGTAGCAATGACAACGACAGGTGGCTGAATGGAGGTCTTACTGAAAGAATGATCCTTCACACCACATGTACCAGGCCCGATTATGCTCGATGTTGGAATGTAATATATATTACCCAATGAGTGAAAAATCCATTCAACAGAATGCTCTCTCAGCTCCATATCGTACACAAAACAGAAGCTGTATTTGGGCACCTCGACAACTAGAGTCCAGCTCTTTGACCAGCTTTCTACGTTACTGCCAGTATTGTCGGTATAAAACTCTAGCCTCCACGCCATTCTTTGTGGTGTACTACCATGGACAGACACCAACCTGTCACTGCTCATACGCAATATTGAGAGTATCGTCAGCCCCCTTAACGCTGCCCCGTCTAGTTCAGATAGATGGTTTTCCAGCAGATCCAGACAGACCAAGCGCGGGGTGTGGAATTGACTTGGGGCAATTCGTTTGATTTTATTTGACCCTAAGTGCAAGTGCCTCAGTGTGTCCATCCCAACAAGCCAGGCGGGGTCTAAAACAGGCAACAAGTTGTTTTCAAGGTTCAACATTCTAAGGCGACCTAGATGCTTGAAACTCCCTGGATCTATCTTCCTGATTAGGTTGTTTGTCAAAGACAGCGCATCCAGCAAAATTAGGTCAGCAAACCAAGTCTGCTTAATGTGTGTTAACCTGTTGAAATCTAAGAACAGTATCTGTAAACGAGTAAATCCCACAAGGGTGCCGTTTTCTACATCTGTGATTTTACCTTCTATCAGGGCCAAAGTTTGAACCGCAGAATGATCAAGAGGTGATAGTTTTGTAGCCGAGAGAACATCAAATCGATACCCTCTTACTGCGAGGATCGATAGAATTGATGCAGGGTAGGCCTCAACAACATGAAAAGGGTTTCTAGTAGCAACACTTCCATTCATGTTCTTGCACATCACACAAATCCCCGAGCGTAAGAAGGAAAATCTTCTCATACTTTCTGTGTTTCTTTCACATGATAACCACCCATCGCGAGCTATGCTACATTGAGTAGAAGAGGGTCCATCAAATCCTGCACAGCCGTAGCCAAATGCCAAGAGCAGCAGTATGACTGCATGTTTGGACAAAATAGATCTTAAGTACATACTATGGCTTCCTTTCTATAAGACTAAACAGATTTGTCACTTACCCTTCTACTCGTCTCACATTTTATCCCGCTAACATGCAGCTGCTCATTTTTTGGAGTGGCTGTCTGTAATTCTACAACTTTTAGACTGCATGCCGAATCAGTACGGTACCAAATGTCATTCTGGATCTATTTTAGAGCCAACCTGCTCATTTAAATGTTCTGATAGCTTATCCCTAGATTAGTCTGGATATCAAATAGAAGAGTCGTCAGGTATTAACAACAAAAATTAAAGACACCTGGGGGACCGTTTGACATAGTGAAAATGATTACCAGTATTGCATAATAACCGCAGCACTCGTTGATGCCCAGACCAATCTGAGACCTGTCAACTCAAGGTTGTCAAATTGTCTGCATTGCTGATTGAACAAAAAGGCCCTTAATGCCCAGACTGGTGTTATCAAATTGCTGACAAAAGCAATAAGTTGTTTGCACATTCTCAAGCCTGTTGATCCTGTTATATCACATGCCTTGTAGGTACAAAAGTGTTAGTGCGAATTGGTTCACACAGTCTAAGGGAGTGGATATAATCAATGTCGCATTTTGTCTCAGCACCTTCTTTCCAACTTGCCGTTTTGGTAGAATCGAAGATTATATGTCACAGCAGTATTTTTAAAATACTTTAAAGTATGGAGAGACACACGCACCACGATGTGTTACGTGTTACTGCCCCTGGTATATCCCATGACCATTATTAGTGTTGAGATGGGCGTACGCCGTGGTGTGATACTGGTTCCCTCCCCTGGGACCCCCATGACCAGTAGGTGTTACATATAGTAGGTATACGTGGGGGGGGGGGGGCACGCACGCCGTTTTGTGTTACAGGTCCCTACCCCTAGGATCTTCCAAGGCCAGAAGTTAATTGTTGGGTAGTATGGTGAGGGGAAGGGATACACGCCTTCCCAGTCCCTGTGCCTGTCTTTGCTGACTAGTGGCATTCGGTGCTGTCCCGTATACACTGATGTGATGTCCTCTCGCCCCTATATCTGCTCTATACATAGCAGATTCTCTACCAGCTACAGAGTGATGGCTTTGCAATGCAGAAACTACATCAGCCTGGTTAATTCTAATACCATCACCATATGGAGTACAACCTGTACAAAGTGATTGGTCAGTAGTGGCAGCATAGAAAAGATTAGGTCCCATACCATCATGATCATGATCCGGAATATCACAGTAAGTGTGTGGTATGGCAGACTGATCAGCAGCTACGGCCTCTGGAATGTCTGAGCAGGTAGGTGGAAAGGCAGGAAGAGGCCGCTGTGCAGCGGCTACATTATCTGGGATCACGCTATAAATAGGCTCAGTGGAAACCAGAACAGCAGGTAATGACTTACAGGAAGCTGAATCTTCCTGGACCTCCCTGTTTCTACATCTCCGGACAGGTAGAGAAGCTGATCTACGCAAAGCAGGGAAGGCAGCGGCTGTGCTTGTATCAATGTTGTTCTGTACTTTAAACACTTTCAACTTGAGTGCTACAGATACAAGGATTGACAAGACCAGAACGGAAACTGTTGGAACAACAACTGAGACGGAAACAAGAATATGGTCTAGGCCGGGAGGTACTGGAGACGTGTTACTTGGTCCAGAAGATTTATCTGTAGTGTACGGCTGAGACGTCAAATCATCTGCTTGGTCAGTACCAATCTTGTAAGAGGTGACTGGCATCTGGGGCTTAGTTTCAACCCTGGGAGTCGTAAAGAACAACTCCGTGTAGTTACCATTTTTGAACAGAATGCAGCTTATGTTCTTTGTATTGTCGTGGGTAGAATTTGTTTGTGTGCTGTGTTTGTGGCCAAGTGCCATGGCAACAGATGTTGCTGTAGTATTCCCGGTGCTCGTGGAAACCAGTTGAATGATTGAGTTATCCCCCATGGCCACTGTTACGCCCTTGTCATGTTCCCACACCTGCCTACACTGTTCCACCATGTCCTGTCCCTCCTGTCTATGTACTGGGGATACATCAGCAGCAATGACAACGACAGGCGGCTGAATGGAGGTCTTGCTTAAAGAATTATCCTTCCTACCACATGTGCCAGGAATTATGGTATTCGATGACAGGATGTGGCTCATATTGCCGGATGCATAAAATGTCCATTCAACAAAATGCTCGTTGATCGCCAAATTGCGTCTAAAACAAAATATGAATTTGGGCACCCTAACAACTATAGTAAAGCTCTTTGTCCAGACACTGTGGTAGAGATCTAAGCTCCACGCCATTCTATACGCTGTTGCGTCATTGTCAGACAGCAACCTGTTGCTACTGATATGCAGGTTTGACAGTTTCAACGGAACCCTTAGGTCCGCTCTGTCCACGTCGTTTCCACGCAGATCTAGGGACATTAACCAAGGGTTCTCGAATGCACTTGAGATAATTCTTTTCATTTCATTTGACCCCATGAAGACATGCGTCAGCCTGTTCATTCCAACTAGCCAAGCAGGGTCTAAATCCTGCAACAAGTTGTTCTCCAAGTTCAACATCATGAGGACACCTAGGTTTTTGAAACTGTCTGGCTCTATATGCCTGATCAGGTTGTTGGACAATGTCAGCAACTGGAGCTTCTCTAAGTCAGCAAGCCAGGCCTGTTTGATGTGTGTTAATCTGTTGAAATCTAAGGCCAGCCTTTTCAAGTAAGTAAATCCCAACAGCGTGTTGTTTTCTACATCTGTGATTTTACCTTCTATCAGGGCCAAAGTTTGAACCGCAGAATGATCAAGAGGTGATAGTTTAGTAGCTGAGAGAACATCAAATCGATACCTTCTTATTGCCAGCGTTAATGGAGAGAAGCGCTTAACAACATGAAAAGGATTTTCAGTGGCAACACTGCCATTCAAGTCCCTGCACATCACACATCTCCCTGAGTTTAACTTCTTTAATCTTCCCGTATCTTTTGTGAAAGGCAAACATGATAACCAAGGAGCTATGCTACATTGATTAGAAGATGGCCCGTCTAAAGCGCCACAGGCAAAGCCAGCTTCCAGGAGCAGCAATGTGACTACGTGTTTTCTTAACACAATTCCTAATACCATGTTCTGCCCATAAGATTAAACAGATTTGCCACTTATCATTCTACTTGACTCTGGTTCTATCACTTTGACACCTTTTCTAAGGAATGGTTGCTCATAACTTTACCTTTGTTGCAGTCAGTCGCAGCATGTTAGAAGTTCTTGTACTAACAGTCAGGATCTACTAAGGAGGCAACTTTTTGCTTTATATGATCCCATAGAGGCATCAGGGACAAACTGTTCAATGACATTCTGAAGGCCATTTGACCACACATTCGAAATGATTACCAGTGTCCTGCGCAGGCCTTGCAACTTTAATTAATTCTCAGACTAATCCAAGATTTAAAATCTAAGGCCGTTGCTAGTTACATGGGGATCGAAATAAACAAGCAAACAAACATGTTTGTAGTAGTGCTCAAGGTTATTAAAAAACATTTGTACCTGCATCGTTGTCTTTGTCTGTCTGATTGTTTAGTTACTGTAGGTTGTATGGTAGTGCACTTGCCAAATACTAAATGCTATAAAGAAAGGCGCCATCTAAAGCATGTCTTATCAAGGGGAAACTATACTGTATTGAGTGAACTCGAACATTTGTGTATATTATGTATCTTGCCTCAATCGTCCTCATCTCATCTTCTTGCATGAGTCAGGTCAAGAGTTGCCCCAATCATGTGAAGGGGTACCCCGAGGCATAACATCAAGACCACCACTGATGCTGTCACAGCTGTCAACATCCCTTCATACAACAGTTTGGGGGAGAAGACACTCCACACAAAGAGGTGGTATCGCTGCAGGGTTGTGATTACTGTGTATCCTGTGACTGGTAATGTTCTTGTGATGATGATGGCGAAGCAGGCTTGTAGCATGGCTGGGTATGGCCTAAATGAAGACAAAGTTGAAATTCAAAAAAATGTAAAGACGTTTCAAAAGTTTAATATGTAGAAGAGGACAGTGGTATTACTGTAACAATTGAGATTCAAAATTTGGCATCAATTAACCTATCCCTACCTACCGACCCTATTTTTACAGGGGCGTAATAGGAAACATAGCATTCATTTTCCTAGGTCCAAGCATATTTTCTTGCCCTTTTTACACAATGAGTTTGGTAAACTTGTACATATAAAGCTACATGTTATTGTCATGTACCTTGGATATTTCTTTGTAATAAGCACCAGAAGACTGGTGAACCAGAGAAGCGGCCCTGCATATGTAGAAAGGCACGTTAACGTTCCTGCTATCTCCTGCACATAATCCTCCATACCGACGTACCCAGCAGAGATGTCAATGGTGGCAATGCTGTTGGAGTTCCCCTGGTGGAGAGGAAAGAATGGTTATCATGATAAAACTTCAATCAGAAATCTAGGTTAGAGGTTAATATTAGAAAGGTAACATTTGCAAAGCAAATGCAGAATGTTTACCTTTAGATGGTATAACCCAAGAAACTACTGCTCTGTTTAGTCTTGCTCAAACACTATAAACACGTTTTTTTATTATATACGGTGATCAGCCCCCCAAATTCAATCCTGCCATGTATGGCATGTTCTATCTCATTACCTGGAAGTAGAAAGCAGCCTGTCCCATCCATACATGTACAAGTGCCAGTAAAGGAACGCTGTGGTACAGGGTTGTCCATGGTAAAACCAGTTCATGTAGCACGTACTGCTGGAAGACAGTCACTGCTAACACAGTAGCATTGTGTGGTCTCAACAACAAGGCTTCTGACAAAACGAAGGTTGTTAAGAGACCATCCACAAATATCTTCCTGGCGTCTTTCAAATTTTCTTTTTCTTTGTAGAAACTTTGAGTTGTTGGTAGGTTGTTTTTTGGTACATGGTCTCTAAGTCTGTTGCCTGCTAAGTTCTCGTCATCCTTTACAGTTTGCAGATGCTGACACCAAGTTTTGAACAGCTCAACACAGGTCCAACACAGCTGAATGATAATAACAAGGTACACCAGGCGTGCTTCCAATATACCCCTGTAAGAAAAGAAAAGTAATTTTAGATGTGTATGTACTGTAAACTGTGTAATTTTTTATCTATCACAGTATGGTCAATCTGAACTGTACAAGTAGTACACCAGTGCTGAATGAACATGTCAGGCCTGGCAGCAGTTAGAAAATGCATATTGGAGGAGTTTTGTCACATACTTGTCTGTATGCAGTACCCAAGGTGCAGCCAGGACTCCAGTTTTGCCTCTGTAATGGTAGACACCAATCAGTCCCACTCCTAGGAGAAAGGAACTGGAAAAACTGCAACTCCTCCATCGTAGTAAGAAGGTGGTGAAGAACGATGCAGCCACCAACAAGGATAGATACATCTTGTTCTCAGGTCTGTACAGACACAAGAAAAAAGTTAATGTTAGTTACATGTATAAGTATTTCTCAATGTCTTGGCCATAAAATGAGTGGCAAACACCATAAGGAACTCTAGTTTAGATATCACAAAAAATAGATATTAAACAAATGACATGCAGTCCCAGATTTTAGACTTTGTTTCCTAGGACATGCAAGGTCAAGCAAAAAAGACAAACACATTATGGAGATCCAACCATATCAGAGCTGGACTAACTTTAAAAACTGTTTTCACACACAAACAATTGAAAACCACAATTCAACTCTTTGCCAGATCCCTTAACAAGCATATCATATGAGAATAAGAGAATGCAATGCCAATGAAACTGTACCTAACAAACCAGTCTCCGATGTCGGGTCGGTCTGCTGACACAATGCCAGTCTGGTTCCAGGACCGTAACAATCGACTGGTTACCAACAAGGCCAGAACTGCAACCATCTTCCTCACAAACCCCTGGTCTAGCACACAGTCCTCCCTGGTTGACAACCCACATTCGGATTGTACCTTTTCTTCAGCCTGACTCGATTCCTTATCAGTCTTCTCTTTTCTATGGTCATATTTCTGTTCTCCCTCCAATAGCGATATCCTCTGCTTATAAATATCACTTTCTTTATCAACATCTGTGTCCTGTTCTAGGGAATGTCTTAAACGAGTAGTAGAGGGTAGAGCCTGGAGAGTGCTGCACATCAGGAGGAGGAAGAGAGTGGTTTGGAGGAAGTACCAAGTCTGATGTTCCTCCTCCACCAGACTGCTGGAGCCCAGGCTGACTGTGTGTAACCCCACTCCCATCAGTAGGAACATGGTTTCCCAAGGTAGACTGCAGCACTGGGATAGAACAGTCATACAATTATTATACATGTATATGTACACAAAAAACAGTTACTCATGAAAAGCAACTGGATAATGATGATTTTGGAAACAGACGTTTCAGGTAGCCTCCACTATCTTTTTAAACACAAACTATGACAAGCAAATAAATTGAAGACAAATATTGATAGCTTACCATGTGCAGACCATAGGCAGCTGCTGACAACAGTGTCCTCCAGTTAGTCAGGAATAACGACTGGATTGTCAAGGAGACACAGACACTGGTAAAAGTAACCGCTGCAAAGGACATAAACCATCCAGCTTTTCCTAGGGAGATATACATGTACATGTACATTTAGAAGATGGTAATATCACATAGTAGTATCTATGATCTCTTGAAATGCAAAAAGGGACACCATAATGGCTGCCACCTTCATTGATAATCATCATAAAAGGCTCCATTCTTCTTACCTGAGCACAGCTCAGCACTGGCCCAGCCTGTAGCACTGGTACACACGCTGACTTGTGCAGAGAGGACCAGGAAGAAACTACTCAGGAGAAGGATAGGGGAGGGAATGTACACCATCCAAGAGTCTGTTCCCGGTACCACCTCTGCAACAAACTTTCCAGACGCAGCTATGAGTATGGAGGACACCTAAGAAAAGATTCAGAAGATCTTGGTGTCATATGACAGAGTGGCTGTGTTAGATGACATGAGAGAGGCTGCAGGTTCAATCCATGGCATTCCTAGATAGATTATTATATAATGTAGTTTAATATGTACTAATTACAGATAGAGGCACCAATAAAATGTGTTTTAACCAGGACATTGAGAGATTAAGACAACAAGCACAGAATGAAAATAATACCCTACCTGTACCAGCAGTGCGATACCGACCGCCATAGCGTGCATGTCGTACTCAGACAGCGATGCGGACACCCTGTCAACAATCTTCTCCATAGCCCGGCGGTACTGTTGGGTAACTCTCTGTCCCAGGGTCTCCAGGTTAGCAGCCGTTTCCCCAGTAACCAGGGCCTTCAGCCAACCAGAGTGCATCTTCACTGCCTGCTGGTACAACTGGTAACCAGCCTCTGTACAGGTGAGAAAAATATACATTAATTTTGTAGGGCTAAGAAAAAAATGTTGCACTGTAACAGTAGGATTCAAGCAACATGAACTGACTAGTGAAACTGGTCCAGATCTTTTGGCCTTGCAGTTAGTGCATTGGGTTCAAGAGCTGGCGACCTGGGGTTTGACATGGATTCAAATCCCAGGAACCAGGAGACTTTGTATCTGTATCGCCCCTTTGTATCTGTATCATTCTGTATAGCCGGTATAACCCATGCATGAATGTCTTTTGAATAAATGAAGGAAGGAAGGAAGGAATGGTTTATTTCTGTAAAACATTGAAGCCATCTGACTGAAAGATGTTTCAATACATAAAATACACACAACTCATGCAGATAACTTGAAATATTACATTAAAATAACTCAATGACTAAACATTGGAGGGTGGATGATTTGATCTGTCAATTTACAATATGTCATTTGTCCTTCAACAGTCTTAACAGAGACCTTCCATCCTCCTAAGATTCTTACCTCTGTTATATCCAGGCACATTGGCTTGTAGCACCCTCACCAGCTGATATGCGTTGATCTGTACAGCTTGGAGCTGATCCCGTGAACTTGACCTTGCCAGCACAGGGGTCATGACCTGACCCAAGCTGTTCTGGGGGACGGGGACGCCAAAGGTCAGGGCAAGGGTCGGGGCCAGACCGGTCTGGTACACTGGGGAAGTCACATGACTGGAGCCTGGGGGGGGGAGTTATAAAGAAAGTGTTTTTGAATAAGGCCATGTTAATTTGATTATATGGATGACATTCAGGAATTTTCGTCCGTTTCCAAAAAAAATGTTTTTGACCATACTGGAAATCATACAAAGTATCTGGAAAATGAGCAAAGATATGCCACAAATTGCAAAACAAATATTGGAAAACAATACAATTAATGTTGTAGAAATTGCCAAAATCAATTCCAAAGGCAAAGAAAAGTGTTTAGAAAAAAGAAAAGTCACTGACCTTTTCCCTCTGAGAAGAGCGAGCTGAGGAACAGAAGTGTGGTGAGAGTTTCAGGCGCCGACGCTCCTCCATGGCTGCCTGCGTTACTCATGCCATGGTCTCCACACAGAACCAGCAGAGTCGGGAGGGCTCTCTCACTGTCCTACAATAACAACAGATTATAGATCTTCATTACAAGTTCATGCCCAAGGCCTAATTGCAAGCAGACATTGACGAGATCTTAAGAACAATGAGTACAGAATGTAGTGGACCAGGTATAAAACTATATGCTGACATGAAGTTATAGGATCTACTAATCCAACTTTATATCTCTAATTAAAACTAATAAGGTATGTATACAAGACAAAGAGTGGATGTGTGATACAACAAAACAACTATAATTTGTTCTTTATTGCAAGTTCATGTTCGAGGGCTAATTGGAAACAAACATTGACAAGAACAATATAACAGAGTCATCAAGTCATCAGATACTATTTTTTTGTTAGCGAGTTTGCTCAGTGCTCAATTTGTCTTTTCCCACCACATACTATACCATACAATGTACTGTGCACGTTCCCAAATGTACATGCATAAAGGGTTAAAAGATTAGGCTAATGATTAGCAGCCTTGAGTCATCACTCAAGCACCACTTGTCTGCTTGGTAGGCTTAATGGCTTTTAATCATTAACTTCTGTATTGTCCGACCTCGTTTATATATTGAAAATCTAACACTCGTTGACAATGTTGACAATTTGGGAGGACTCGAGATTATATATTAACTTTTGGCACAACTCCGTGCCAGAACGGCTTGTTGGGCCACAGATCAAGCAAGGCTATGCATGTACAACGACTCTTTCCAATGTTAGTCCTACCTTCATGAAACAGAAAATTTAACTTCTAAAAGAGGAAGTGGCATGTCTTTAGAGGATGGCTGGAGAAGACAGTAATAACGACGGGCAGAGGAAGACAAAGACAAGGTGCTTGTGTGTTATGGCCGGTGCAGGGGTCATTGTTGTCATAACTGTTGTTGCTAGCCTGCTTGCCGTGTACCTAGCACCAAAGAGCACCACGGTCGTGATCAAGAATGCCAAGTTCTCCACAGATAACCGAGCATTCAGCCTGGAGCATGAGGGGAGAGTAACCATCCGAGCAAACCTCGGCCTTAGTTTGCCCTCCCACCCTCCACCTACGGAGCTACAATGTGGCGAAGGGGACAAGTGCTACAAGTGGTCAGTGGCCACATTGGTAATCAAGGCTGAAGAGATTGAGCCAGCGGTAGAATGCTACACGATAAGCTGGGAGGCTCTTGATGACTTCTATGAGCCGATGGACTGCCTGGACCTTGCGCCGGCCCACTGGTACGGAGGGGCAGAGATGTACTACCAGGGGTGGCCTATCGAGACGTGGAACAAGTCCATGACGTTTTACCTCTCCGGCGACATGTATCAAAGTCTGGAGGAGTGGGGCTCGGTCATGGAACGTTACTGGCTTAGCTCCGAAGGGGTCGGAGTGACTGTGTCCGAGACTGTTCCCCTGCACGTTAGTGTTAACTACATGAACAACGGTAAACTCTGCTTCAAGGCAGCGTACAAGAATTCGCCCTACCAAAATGTCAACAACGTGCGTCCGAAGTTAGAGTACACCCTATGCCAGGCTAGGGATGTGAAAACAGCCCAGCAATTCATGATGAACCGGTTTTACAGTAAGCCGCGCGGGAAACCCGACGAACGTATGATCCACTCCCCAATCTGGTCCACGTGGGCGCAGTTCCAACGAAACATCACCCAGGACATCATCCTTCAATTCGCCGACGACATCAAAAGCTACGGCTTCTCCAACAGCCAACTTGAAATTGATGACGATTGGTCTATCTACTACGGTGACGACTTTGACAACCTTCGATTCCCAGACCCTCGACAGATGGTCGACGAACTGAAGAACAAAGGCTTCCGTGTCACCCTGTGGATCCATCCATTTGCAAACTTTGATTCTGATATGTTCCGTGAGGGGTTGGATAAGAGGTACCTGGCTGGCATGGTGTCTGGGGGGTGCTGCACGGCTACAGTCCCTGCAATTGTCCGTTGGTGGGTTCCCAATGGCGTGGCCAGTATTGTCGACATGACCAATCCTGCAGCTACCGTGTGGTTCAAAGAACGCTTGAGGAAAATGCAACAAGACTACGGCATTGACTCCTTCAAATTCGATGCAGGGGAAGTCAACTACCTCCCCTCAAATTTCATAACTGCTCGACCGCTGGAAAATAACAATGAATTCACAACCCTGTACGCGGATTTTGCTACCGAGTTCGGTCCCATGATTGAAGTACGGGCGGCATACAGGAATCAGGAAATTCCTGTCTTTGTTCGGATGATGGACAAAGACTCGCACTGGGGGTACGACAAGGGACTGAAGACTCTCATCCCCACCGCCCTGACGTTCTCCATCCTCGGTTACCCCTACATCCTCCCGGATATGATTGGCGGGAACGGCTACGACGGCGTCTATCCGGACCGCGAGCTGTTCATCCGATGGCTGGAGGTCACGGCGTTCCTTCCCTGCATGCAGTTCTCCATAGTGCCATGGCAATATGATCAAGAAGTAAGTGTTGTTGTTTTCCAGAGAATTGCATAATGTATTTGCGTGATGATCTGTGAGATGGTAGTCTTCCTCTACAAGCTTTTATGTGGCTGTGCAGCCCAATTCATTGATTTTGTGAAGCTTGTGATGCTCTGTGTGGGTGGTGACCGCGTAACTGCAGCTTTCCTGTGCCTTCTCTTCTCTTTGGTAGCCTCTCTTTGACCCAGCAAACTACCCGATCGCGAGCCCCTTTATGTTAGCCTACATGTAGTAGTGCCTGCATTATCAGGCATAACTTGCAATTACACATGGGTGTGTGTTTGTGTGTTTGTGTGTGCTAGTATACACATGTATGATTGTTGTTTATTCCCCACTGGCTATATTACACCAAACGACCTGCTTTCATTTGTGTCTTCAGGTTGTTGATCTCACCCTTCGCTACATCGAACTTCACGAGACCACTGTCACGCCCCTGATACTCCGCTACGCCGACGAAGCCATCGCTACAGGTGACCCCATCATCCGCCCCTTGTGGTGGATCGCCCCTCGCGACAAAACGTCCCTGACAATCGACTCGGAGTTCCTGATTGGAGACAAGATGCTCGTGGCGCCCATTTTGGATCAGGGCGCGACGACACGGGACGTGTACCTGCCTCCAGGATACAGGTGGCGAGATGAGAACACGAATGAGGTGTACGAAGGCGGCCAAACTCTGCAGGACTACCAAATCCCACTGACAGAAATTGCCTACTTTACAAGACAGGGTGCTGCATAACTCTTGATCTCCATTCATTCATGCATGTAGTTGTCTGTACAGAATCTTGCTACTTGGTTCTTTGTCCATTTCAGTTTTTTCTTTGTGTTTTTGTACAATCATTTTTATGGCATGTACTCTGTGGATCACATACTGTTGTAGCAAATTCTAGGTTTGGTTGTGTATACGTATATGCAAATGATTTTACCATTGTTGGAAATGCCCACAGATTACATGTACATTTGATCACTGAGTAGACCCATACCCTAAACATACTAATAGTTGTGATATTGTCAACATGCATGCATATACCCCACTTCTTGTTACGCCAAGATACGGGTGGGTTTTTATTGTTGTCAAAACCAAAAAACTTGAGGTAGTTACATGTGGGGTTGGTTATCAACTTATTGACAAACACCCAAATCATTGTACGAGTAATACTGTACTGTTGTGTCTTTTATCAATAAAACTGGCAGGTTTACAACCTACTTCGTCGCTTAATCATGTTTGTCGCTATGTACATTTCCGCTTATATAACTCACCAGGCAAACATCACCCCATCCCTATCTGTAAAAAAGCTAGGGCTGAGTCAATTAAAAAGCCAATAAATTATGATTGATCTGATACCTGCAGTCAATCAACTTGTTACATCAACTTTTTTCTCTTTATCCTCCTTGGTTACAATAAGGAGGCTGTAGACAGACTACAACCTCCTTGGTTACATGTAGGAATTTGTACATATCGTAAAACTGTAATCTCCATCTGTTTGGCTGAAACAAATCTCTGAAAAGAAGTAAAAATAATGACATTGTCAATGATTAATCCTAGTACCTTGAATTCTATTAAAGTTTCGCGCAGGTGCAGTACGTTCTGCCGACATGCTTTAGTTACCCTACCTGTTCCACCACTGTACTATGGATGGTCTCCACCATTGTGTCCATTTCTTGAAGCTTCAGCCCAATAAGAGAGCTGGTCGGCCCTGCGAGGTGGCCGATGTGGTCCAGTCCGAGGTAGTGGAGGATCATCACGTCCCAGTCTGGACGTGACAGCTCAGGGACGACATGACGCGTAACATTCTGGTCCACCTGGTGAAATATCACAATCAATCAATCAATCTATCCATCCAACCATCCATCCATCTATACAACCATCCATCAATCTTTATTTCACAACAATTGTAATGGATACAATGTATGGCAAATAGCTACTAGTAAAACAGTATACTATTACATTGTATATTTGTATACTATTCTATCTATAGGTAACAGGTATAGTAAAGTAAGATTAGAAAATACAATATATATATATACTGGGAGAAATTGTATACTAGTACATTACAACTTCGACATGGAACCAACCAGTATGCCACATGATCCCACCACTGTTATCAACTTAAAGAAAAGGTAACATTTACCTCAGTATAGTCAGTGACAAAGAACGACGTGGTCCCGTCATGGCGGACAAAGTGTTCAGGAAACAGCTTCAGCCACGTGTCGTCCCCGTAGAACACGATACGTCGCCCCGCCCGGTACATCTGGGTAATGACGTTGTCTTCCACCAGAGCCTTGGAGTCCAGGTTCAGGGCAATGTCGACAAACCCGGGGATACTGCCAGTGGTGAGACCTTTGATTCTGGGCATGGTGACCGTGGGAGGGTGGGCCTTGGCTATAAAACTGAAAAATTACATGTCATGTTATATAATCATATCATATATACATGAGACAATCATAGTACCAGAGCCTTGGAGTCCAAGTTTAAGGCAATGTCGACAAAGCCAGGGATACTGCCAGTGGTGAGGCCCTTGATTCTGGGCATGGTGACTGTAGGAGGGTGACTGTAGGAGGGTGGGCCTTGGCTATAAAACTGGAAAAATTGCAAGTCATATTAATATCTTCTTCTTCTTCCTTTCCACTCTCCTATGGATCGCCTTTCAACTCCCTGAAGGCATCGCCGTCAGCACTAGGAGCGATGGAAGCCTTTTCAACATTGCGCGCTTCAGGGCCAAGTCAAAAACCATCATTGTCTTGTTACGGAAACTTATGTTTGCTGACGACGCAGCATTATGCTCTTATTAATACAATATATATTATATATATATATAATATAATATATATTATATATACATGGGGCAATTATAGTACCTGAGTGCAATTAACAAGTGGGTAGAGTGTTCACCCTACACTTGGTAGATCATGAGTGGGGTTGTATGTGTGCTTGCCCAGCAGAGACAATTTCAGGGACAATGGGTGTATATTTGGTTGCTTGATTGAATGGATGGTTAAGCCTTCAAGTGATGCCAGGTAAGGATAAGTGGGCAGTACATGGAGGACTTCATGACACCAAAACACCCTGGAGGCCTGAAACCTCTGATTTCTTTCTTTTTGAATTTGAGGCTAAAGTTGCCGACTTACCTTACAGATGAGTTGGAGTCGACCAGTGCTCGTGTATATGGCATGAAGGTTTTCCCACTCTCTCCATACATGAAGTCTGCTCTCATGGCATCCACCAACATGATCACCAGACGGCCAAATATGGGGGAGAGTGGGGAGCCTGGGATGGCAAAGCTGTCTGAGTCGGCACTAAGGTTCTGTGAAGTAGATGATAGTTAATTAAACTTCATTTTATGCCATACCTGGGCTGCAATCACTCACTCACACACTATCCAGGAATAGATTATTCTGCTACTGTTGCAATAACGTTCAATTTTGAATTGACCTTTTCTTCTAAGGTCCATGATCCGACCCTGAGTGAGGAAACATTGTACAATCAGTTTTCCAACGTTGACATTGAAAATATAAGTTTCCTTATATGCATTACGAAGTTTCACTTTATTAAACTGTATCGTACAAGTTGGATCAAAAGAGAACAGCAAAGTCTAAAAAGAAAAAGATAATCCCTACTTACGGAGTACCGACCCTAATTTTTTCTAGACTGAAACGGGAAACACTTAAGGAAAACATTTTCCTGAGCCTTACAGTAAGTGACACTGATACTTAATATGTACCTCGTAGGCAGCAGTATCATTCTCCCAAGGCTCCGGAGGAATGTCCAGAAGAGTGGCATGTCCGGGGACGGCCTTCTTAATGGGGATGAAACCCTTCAGGAAGATTATCACACCCAGAACCTGGGTCAGCAGGCACACCAACAGGAACACTGTGTGGCCTGCATACATCTTCACATCTGGAGACAGAAACAATCAAGAACTGAAGAAGAATTCAAGAATTCATTTATTCATCTATGTACTTTTATTTCAGTGAGTGTCTTAGCTGGTGTGTTACACCGAAGGGCGGTTATACCGGCAATAAGTAGTATTATTAACGTTTCCTGATACAGATACTGAAGACAAATTGGTTTCATTATGTGCACTTTTAATAATCTAGGGTTTTTGATCAATAATTTGCGTTAGCTTAAAATATATTCAAGAGTAAGACAGTGCAGAGTAAATACAGTTGAGCAATCTAATATAAGTACATGTAGTTAAGAGACCTTAGAGGGTCTGCACCTTTTTCAGTGAGGCATAATTAGTTTTCCCAATCAAATCTCTTTCCTCCCCTACTCACTTGGTGTCAGATCGACACTTGAGATGTTCTTTGTGGTAATATAAAGCTTAAGACACGAAGGAAAACCACAGATCTGTGTTTGAACGTCTTTAATTTAAGATAGAAAAGTCTGGCATCTTGTACTTACCGCCTGGGGTCAATGACCTCGATTAACCTTTTTGAACTAGACCACTAAATAGGGGTATCTACTTTTCTCATGTTACATTTCTAGAATTTAAAATTTAAAAATTCACATCAATAATCTATAAAATTCATTAAAGTTATATTATTGTTCGAATAAATGATATCATAATCGACTTATAAGACAGCATCTGTAATTTTAAAATGCTAATATTCTAATTTTGACCCCTTAAAACTATGGATTGGTCCAAAGTGAGGTCACCAGGCTAATTTTCCAACATGGCGGAAGACGATGTCGGGTTTCGCATCAACAAAGATTTCGCCAAGAAATATGACGAGTACAGAAGGAAAGAGGAGCTCCAGAAACGTGAGCTTTGCAGATTATGTGTTACTTTGTTATTAGAATCCATGAGATGTGAATAGCCCTGAGTTGGAAGGTCTAAAAGAGTGTTTGTATTCGTGTAGGGGGAGGGGGGCATGGGCACGCATGTGCTACGACGAGTGAACATGCATGTGCAACATACACATGTGTATACTTACTAGCATAGAATTAGCAGGAAAAAAAACTAGCTGGTAATCATATTTAAAAATTATAAAAATTATATGTAGATGTATAGAAGAGCGAAAGATTTTCAGACTTAAGTACTAGTAACCTTAAGTTATGTCAAAATTATTTCGGGTAAGGTAAGATGTATTGTAAGAGTGATTTAAATGTCCCCTTTACTCTACTCCCTACCAGTGAAAGACCGTTATGGAGATGTAGATGTGGACGCCAGTTCCAGTTCTTCATCAGAGACAGAAGACGAGGATGCAGTGGTAGGTTTTTTTCTAGTTCTTAGTAACACTCTCATTTATGTTACATGTATCTTATATGGTTTGTAGGAAAAATTAGAACTCAAGACAGTTTTTATCATTTTATGTGTAATTTTTGCCAAAAGCTAATATAAACATTTCAATTTTTGTCTTCTTATAGGAGCTGACCCCAGCCATAGAAAAGGGCTTCTTGAAAACCCTGGCAGCTCTGAAGAGTAAAGACCCACGGATTTACCAACAGGACACCAACTTCTATGATGAAGGTACAAAATCTTACATAAGTGTCTTATGCAACATGATATTGAAGATCTTGTGTTTAACCTTCTCCCTGCTGCTTCACCCCATTGTTGATATAAAACTTGAATGTTTTTTGGACAAACTTATTTTTCTAACCTCCCTAAGTTTTTAACTGTTTATTTCCCTACAGATAAGAAAGGAGAGCCCAGCAAGACTGAGGAGAAAGGGAAAAAGCCTAAGGAGAAGCCGATGTTCCTTAAAGATTACGAGCGTAAGGTGCTGCTAGAAAAAGGAGGGTGCGTAGAAATCATTTCTTTCTTTATTTTCTGCAAGGGATTTGAACCCAGAACCTTTAGATTCTATGTCAACAACCCTAACCACAAGACTGCCTTGACACATTTCCAGTTTATAACTCTGGACTTTGAGTTAACTTCTTTACTGTTTGCTGTAGGGTTCCAAGTGATGACGAGAGCTCAGAAGAGGAGTTTGCTATGAATGTATGTATCTGTGCTCTTTTGTTTCTGAATTTTTTGAGAAAAATCCTAGTTCCAATAAATGTTGGGTTTTTTTAAGTCATTTGAGAGAGAATTGTTCCTTACATATGCATCAGGTTTCATTGCTAATGTACAAGAATCATGTAAAATAACTTGGTGCTGTCTTTCATTTACTGTTGGCTGAAGCAAATCAACTTTTTTCCCAATCGTAGAGACCCACCAGTCCCAGCTACTATGAAGAACAGGAGCAGATTAAGCAGAGGTAAGAGACATACAGTTTTCAGCAAATTTCTAATATAAGCTAAAACATACTACATGTATTAGGTATATATCTCAGGGCTTGAAATACTGGGTTCATATACACCTTTAGTGCAAGTAAAATTTGGGCTGTGCAGGTATTTTATAGTCCCAAAACTAGCTACATTTAAACATGAGGCGTCCTATATTTTTGGGGTACCACCAATAAATAGCTAGAACCAGCCTACAATACAAAACAAGCCACGTTTTCTGTCAGCGACATCGCAGTTTTTCCTTACAGATATCAGTATGCAGTTGAGTAGGATTGATCCTACATTGTACTTACTACGTTATAAGAATGACCAAAAAATTGACTTTAAAAATCCAGTTTTGTAGCCCTGAAATTGCATTTGACATCTTGTACAGTTTTAAACAGGCCCTGTCTGCTGGAGATGATGATGATGATGAAGATGGCAGCCTCCTGGTGGAGAGACGGAGGACCCAGCAGGAGTTAGAGGAAGATGAGAGAGACTACACGGCCTGGCTGACTGGACAGAAGGAGGAACTGGCCAACAAATATAAGGACATGGTTTGTTTGTTTGTTTGTTTGTTTGTTTGTTTGTTTGTGTGTTATACTTTATTAGGATTTCCATTAGTGGTACATAAATTTCACACTATTGTTCCTGGATACCGCAAGGGTGATTCTTGTAAATCACTAACATGGGGTCGTGTGGCATAACAGCAGAGCATTTGGCTCAGAACAAAGAGGTCCTAGGTTCGAATCCTACCATGTCACCAACCTTGTGCCCTTGGGAAAGGCACTTTACAGGACTTTCCTCACTTCTCTCAGGTGTTAATAAGCATGCCAGAATGATTATTATCATAATAGTGGGCGTTAGAAGAAAAAAAAAAAAACATGTGGCTAATATGGGACGGGTTTTTTCAGCATTTGGAGCCCAGATTGAGTAGTACATGTATGTCTTCTTTCCTGTAACCTCCACAGGGCCCTCTGAAACAGTACTGGACTAATCCTGAACTAGACAAGGGGGAAGCTTTCCTGAGAGACTACATCCTGAACCAAGAGTACAGAGACCCAGACAAGGACAGGTGAGAAATAAACTATAGGGATTTTACTTCACACAGCCAAACAAGTCTCTTACCTTGCTTACGTTTCATTGTCTATCACTATAGTATCAGACACCTTCCTCAGAGCTTCTGACTGGAGTTCTGTGGCATGAACGCAATCCCAAACATGGCTGAGTTTGTACCCCCCCCCCTCGTCCCGGTTCATCACTGGGTCGACTTCCTTACCCAGACTGCTTCTTTAATCCATTGGATTCTCCTGTTGTTGTCTTCTCTATGACCTTGGCCCCCTCCCAGTCTATGACACAGTTGTCTCTGGCAATATGGTCCGTCACTGCCGATTGGATGTCTTTAAATGGGATTGAGAGATCACTTTTTTCACTTTTCATCACCTTTTTTGTCATGTTTTTCTCCCCCTGTAGGATCCCCACCTATGATGAGATCGTGGATGATGATGATGATATTGATTACTCTGAGGATGAGGAGTATCTGGAAAAGGCTGAAAACTTTGAGAGAAAATTCAACTTCAGATATGAAGAGCCAGATGCAGAATTTGTGAGTATTTTAAGTTTAAATTGTGTCTGTAGATTGTTTCAGTCTTAAGAGGCAGGTTTTTGCAAGGGTTTTAAAATTGTATAAATACACAAGTACATGGTCTTGGATACACGGACACACACACACACAGACACGCGCATATACATGCAATAATTTTATGGTCTGTCTGCTGATTATGTTTACCTTCTTCTGTCACCATGGTAAGTAGTGTTGGGTTACATCATGTTGCAATTTTATAGCAGGAGGGATTTAGACTCCTGTCACCATATATATGAATGTGTTTGAGTAACAGAGCAGACCATATGCGAAGGTAAACATTATGCATTTGCTTTGCAAATGTTCCCTTCTAGTTAACTCATTTATTTTGTGTGCACACAGATCAAGAGCTATCCGCGAACCATCGCCAGTTCTGTACGGAGAAAAGACGAACGCAGGAAGAAGAAAAGGGAAGAGACCAGGGAGAGGAAGAAAGACGTGAGAAAGTAGTAGGGCTGTGTAGAAGCTCCATCTACTTAATGTCACGTGAACTGCAGCAGTGAAGCCTTCACTGCACCCTATTTTACAGTTTTACTACATGTATTAAACTTACAACCATTTTAATATGAACAAAAATTCTGAAACCAATTATTAGTTGTTCAGAGGCAAGAAAATATAGGCATGAGCAGATGTAAAAATAATTGAATAGTGGAGACTACTAGTAACTTTTATTTTGATATACACTTTTCTGATTATCGAAAATTGTAGAAATAGTCGTGTTCACTGACAGGTTTAACAATTGGTTGTATTATTCATCACTTTTATGTACTAACTGATTGTAAGCCCCCTCTAGCATTTTGCTGTCAAAGTGCAGCAAAACAGTGCTTCATTCCAAAAGACAATACTTATCTCTTTGTCTTAATGTTGTAGGAGAAACACAAGAAGAAAGAAGAACTAAGACAGCTGAAGAACCTTAAGAAGAAGGAGATCCTGGATAAACTGGACCATCTTAAGGAGATCACAGGAAATCAGGACATCGGCTTCAACCAGGCAGACTTAGAAGGAGACTTCGACCCCAAGAAATATGATGAGATGATGCAGGTAAACTAGAGACTGTCTGCTATCTCTTTATAATTGTTACAGTGCCAGTAGTGTACTGTTTTTGCTCTGTTAACTCTTCTTCTTCTTCTCCAAACACATGAGGTCAATGACCTGGACCAGACATCTGCCCATATTTTTCTTTTATCTTTCAGAATGTCTTCAATGAAGACTACTATGGAGAGGAAGAAGGGCAGAAACCAGAGTTTCCAGAAGAAGAGGAATTGGAGGAAGATGGTGAGAAACTTCCAAAGAAATTTGGATGAATTCCAAAGTGCAGTCCAAAATCCGCCAATCCGAATGAAATACAAAAATGCACCTGCAGTTTAGAGAAACTTGCTAGGAGGCACTTTTATGACTTTGTACAAAGTTATCATGGATGAATTCCAAAGTACAGTATTTGTATTCTACATTGTGTATGGTATGCTTTTTTCCTTTAATCTGAGTGAAATAAACATAACAGAAATGCACCTGCAGTTCAGAGAAACTTGCTCTAGTTCGTCTTACAACAGCCAGGGTTACCCAACTATTATGTACAGCAACCTTCTTCACAGTTATCATGGATGAATTCCAAAGTGCAGCTTTTGTTTCTGTCCACTTGCAGTGAACTGGAACCAATGGCAGGGTCCTGATGGGGCGGAGGGAGGAGGGGGTGAGTATGACTGGGAGAACAGCCAGGAGTGGGAGGAGCCACACTGTGATGATCCAGACTTCAATGTGAGTTGTACACCTTACAATCTTCCAGCACGTCGGCAAAACATACTGCGCAAAACCTGTGCAAAACCTGTAATGTATAGTGCACACACTTCGGCAGAACGTCTCATATCAGGTCATATTTGCGCAAATAAGGTTAACATCCTGTCTGTAGTTTTCAAATGTGTTGGGAGAAGACATTGCATGCAACAGGCAAATTTCTAATGCAACGATGACCAAACATCCAACAAAAAACATGAAAAATCAGGATTTTGCGCAGGCGCAGTACCTTATGCCGGTGTGCTACACCTTACAATCTTTCCTTGTTTATCTGAAAGATACTTTTGAGATTCAATCAAACTTTGCTACACCCCAAGGTTGCCTGACACAAATTGTATGACATTTTTCTTTACTGTACATTTCTAAAGGCACCCAAAGCAATTTCAGGGCAGTAAAACTGGATTTTCAAAGTCCAAAGTTATCATGAAAAAATGACTTTTCTAGATGGATGCAGACTACGATCCTGAAGCCCAACAGTCGACCTCCCAGGAAATCTTGGCCATGTCAAAGAAGAAGAAACGCAGGAGGAAGTTAGGAACGTACTTTGCAGAAGCCGTCAACAAGAAGAAACCAGTCTTTGATCCAAGTGAGTTGAGCATGCCTTCCTTTCTTGTGGTTTCTTTAAAATCTGCATACAACAATGTTCTAGTCGGCCTGAAATTTTTTTCTGCCATCTCAATTTTGTTTCATATGATTCATGTCAAGTGCCGAATTCAAAAATAATCTTAGGGCAGTCTAGACTAACTCACTGTTAGCTGAAACTTGATGTGTAGTGTTTTTTAAACTTTAGACTCTGGATTTGAACCCCGCACCTCTTGGTTCCTGTGTAAGCTGCTTAGCACTCATTATGTCCATTATGTCACATGAGGCAATACCTACAAAATCCTTATGTGTTATGATTTTATGATACCAGTAACATTAACGTATACTTCATTCTGTTTCAGATGACAAGACATTTGAGGAATATCTGAGTGAATATTACAAGCTGGACTATGAAGACGTCATTGGTGACATGCCCTGTCGCTTCAAGTACCGAAATGTTATGGCCAACGACTTTGGGCTGACTACAGAAGAGGTAACATTCATGCTGGGCTGAAAAATAAACTTTTGCAATATAATACTGAGCCAAATTGCTAGAGCTGTTGACAAAATACAGCTGAATATTAAAGTGTTGGATTATAAAAAAGCAGAAAAAATCACCTATAGAAACTTTGTATTTGGTTCATTGTTACATGTAATTTTGGGACAGAAGTGTTACTTTGAGCAGTGTTGGTTTATGGGGCAGCAAGAATTAGAAGTGGATGGGCAGAGATTGGGTTTCAGTTGATGTAAAAGGTTTGTATGCAGGTACATTTTATACATATGTGTAAGAAAATATGTTTTAGAGATTGATTGATTGATTGACACTTATGTGATTGACACCTGTCAGGTGCTGACAGCTGCAGACAGTGAGTTGAACACCTGGTGTTCGGTGAAGGCCATGTCCAAGTACCGGTCGGAGGAGGAGGAGCACAGAGAACTGAAGAGATACCGGAAGAAGGGCAGAGACACCAGGAAGAAACACAGGATACTGGCCAGCCTGTCAAGGGAGATGTAAGAAAATCTAGTACATGAAATAGTGTTTCACACTTTTTCTTATGTCCAGTAGAAAAGTTTGAAGTACTGTTTTATTGATTCAACCCTGGATGACTAATCTTCACAAATGAAAATCTAGTACATTTTGTACTATGGAGCAAGATTAAAGGCATTCAATGTAATTTCAGGGCAGCAAAACAAAAAATATTCTGGATGAGAAATTCTGTCTGTTGACATTCTTATCACATGTATTTATTATTGGTATTTGGTGCCATCTCTTGTTCATCATTATTTCATACTTGAAGCATTTGAAGTAGCCCCAAAAGCGAACTATGCGAGGAGTCCCTTTTTTTTGGGGTACCATCCATAAATAGCTAGAACCAGCCTAGACGCGAAAACACGTTTTCACTGACTTTCCATATCAATAAACAACACAATAAGTGACCTTACAGGGTATTAATTAAGATCCGTTACTTAATTGTTTTCTTATTTCACATCCAGAGAGGACAATGAAGAAGAGGACAAAGATGCTGCTACCCCCACGATGTCTCAAGAAGTGTCAAAGAAAAGGAAGGACAGACCAGAACTTTCTCAAGACACTGGAGAGGTGACTAAGAAGCAGAAAACTGACTCACAGACAGAGCCTGAGACGACAGCTCCTACTGAAGGTGTAAAAGAGACAAAAGTAGTAGAGAGGGAAGAGGACAAGTCTATGAATGGGGGAGGGGAAGACGGAAATGCTACAACCCCGAAAAAGAAGAAAAGAAGAAGGCAAAGGAAGAGGAAGCTCACTCATGAAACTCCAGCCACAGACAATAATCCTACACAACAACAAGAAGACACAACAGAAACAAACGGTAAAGGAGAGACAAGAAAACAGAGCTCAAACGAAGGAAACACTGCTGAAGATGTAAACAAAAAGGACAACAACAAAAAGGAGAAGAAGAAACAAAAGGCTGTAGCAAGGGTACAAGGAGAGAAAAAACAGCCTCCTAAGATGTCGGCAGAGAGAATCAAAGCGTACGGTTTTAATCCTAAGAAGTTTAAGTACATTCTTCAGAACCAGAAGAAAAAACAAAAGAAAGAGTCAAATACATAAAATAGAGAAGGGAAAGTAATGTGATGTATCTTTCTAGTTTGTATACTGTTTTTGTCCACTTCGTTGCCATCAGTCAGAATGCAGCATGCCTATGCAGGTTAGTGCAGGTAAATTGGAAGTGTGCAGGTATTTCTGATGTCTACATGTACCGGTCCATGTACTGGGTTTATGCAGTTGTACATGTATGTGGATTTTTATTTGCTACATTGACTTTTCCCATCTGTAAAATGTACATGAAAGAAATAATGGCTATTGTTTTTGAACAGTTTTTAGTATGATCCCTACTTCTCAAAGTGGTGCAGGTAAAATTTGTCTAGAAATTTAGGGGGAATATCAGAAGCCACTTGTCAGTATTCAATCAGGATACAATTTTAGCGTTTCTATAATTAAATTCTATGGTTTTGTGCCAACAGTGATAGCTTCTATACAACAGTTACAAATGATATGAGTGAGAACTGCACCATGTACAGTCCACTTTAAGTGTTTCTATTCTAGCAGAAATTTATGTAGTATTGAATCCAGTTAGAATTACTGTACCATGCAATTTGCAGTTTACTAAGATATTTCTTTGAAGTATGTTAAAGCTCAATCATTTGTCTTTTACCGTTGATGCTATATTACAGAAAATGTTTCTGCAATTCTATTTTGAATACATTTTGAGTGAAAAATTCTGACTTCATGTCTTGTTTCTTGATTTGTAGCTGCAACATTGTTCTTATTTGTTTATATTCAATATTTATTAAGTTGGGATTTACAACATTTGTGGAAGGATTGACATAACAGGTAACTATTGCCTTTTCAAGATGTCAACATGGAGACAAGAGACAGAGAGAAAGAGAATATTGCACCCATTCTGACACTGTGAAACACATTGTTAAAACCAAAACGTTGATGATAAGTTACAAAAAAAGCTCCGGATTCAACCATTCGTACAAGCCTCTCTTGTAAAGAAAGGCTTCCATTTAAAAATCTATTAATTCCCCGTATTTTGATGGTCAGAAATAGTTTCAAGGTCAAGAACGAGAGACGAAAAGACCTGAAGTAAAACCCCCATATAAGAGCCCATCGCGTTTCCCCACTCGCGAAATGGCCAAATCTGGGAATGAGCGAGGCTTCGTTAGGGAGATACGGCCCTTTTCGAAACGGGGACTCGAAAACGGGGGTGTGGTAGGGGATGAATTTCCGCTTTTTTAAATTTGGAAAAATACAACTTCGGCGTTTTTCGGCCTCGTTCTTTTCAGAGTATACTCCTAATGATCTTCACTATATTTCTACTTATTGCCTTCCAACAAATTTTCTTCGTTCTCGAGTTATACGTCAAAACGTGTTTTTGCGATCAGCTGATCGCTTGCAAAACTGGTCACTTTGTTTGCAGAAGCGGAGTTTTCGCCGTCGGATACATTAACATATGAACGAAAACCAAGCAGATGTCAGCGGGGAAATCGCATCCGAGATCCAGTGACAATCCTCCAGCTTTGTTTACGATTTCCCTGCTGACATCTGCTTGGTTTTCATTCATATGGTAATATGTCCGACGGCGAGGCGAGGGCATTTCGTAGCAATATAATGCAGACTTATTTCTTTCTCAAATAAACCACTTGTAACCCCAAAGACACTCCCAGCAAATCTGTGGTTGATTTGTAGCAAGAAACTGCTGTTAAAAATCTTTATTTATCAGAATATCCCTTCACAACTAGATTCAACAATCTCCAGTTTAGCCAACACGTCAGCCACAGGTAAATGTGACCCTGCAGTTCGGAGACAAATCGCTAGAGGCCACTGCTACACGGTCCACCTGCTGATATTGTCAATACGTTTCACCGACGTCAGGACGCTTCGCAGTCAAGAGAGCTCCTATTTCCAACTCTAACCCTAATCATAACTTCAATTCTAACCATAGCGATAACCATAACAACATCTAAAACCATAGGACGGCGAAACATAACAGGAAATGTTGCTGTGAGTGGCTTAATTTAGTATTTTGTACAAAGGTTCATCACAAAGGGGAGTGTGCAACTGCAGTACTACAGTTACGTCATAGTTACGTTAGCCAGAGGTAAATGTGACCCTGCAGTTTGGAGACAAATCGCTAGAGGCCACTGCTACACCGTCAATCGGCCAGGTTTCGTCATGACGTTTCGCCGACATCAGGGCGTTTTGCAGTCAAGGGACTGTTTCATACTCAACAGTAATCAATTCTAACAATAGCGATAATCATTTTTAAAAAATTCAGCTAAAAATATGGGACGGCGAACCAGAACAGGAAACCGCAATTTCGGCGGCGTTTTCGGGAATGTTGCTACGAAAGAGACGCTACTTTTACTATTCAACATCACCATCTCTTGATCAGCACCAAGGTCAGCACCAGTTAACATTCGGAACAGACTTGACCGTGCGATATTCTGATAAATAAAGATTTTAACAGCAGTTTCTTGCTACAAACGCAGCTAACATTCTAACCTTCTGAATCGCCACAAAGTCAGGCTGTTCCAGGCTACGAGATCCTGAAAAGCCGCACGGTCAAGCCTGTTTTGAATGTTAACTGGTGCTGACCTTGGTGCTGATCAAGAGGCCTGGAGCAGAGAAACACTGCAGCGGTGTGTGCTTTGAAGATAAATCGCTAGAGGTCGCTGCTGCATGGTCTAGTATTGTTGACCACCTCCAGTGCAATGATTCATAAGCAAATCGTATTTTCTACCACTGTACTGTTGTAATTCACGTCTGCGTGATTATATTTGCTTTGAGTTTGACTTGACCCCGATTTATGGTTGTCCCTTATACTTGTCTGCTCTGTTAACTCGGTGTACGGAGGGTCGGTGGTCTTCAAATCCCGCTAAATACTCCACAACGATACCAATTCTACCGTGTCGCGCACCGAACACAACCGGGCCGCCATGTTTGTTTACATGTTCGGTGATGTTGAATAGTAAAAGTAGCGTCTGTTTCGTACCAACATTCCTGAAAACGCCGCCGAAATTGCGGTTTCCTGTTATGGTTCGCCGTGCCATGTATAAGCTGAAATTTTGTTGTTATGATTATCGCTATTGTTAGAATTGATTAGTGTTAGAGTATGAAATAGTCGTTCCCTTGACTGCAAAACGTCCTGACGTCGGCGAAACGTCAGGACGAAACCTGGCCCGTCGACCGTGTAGCAGTGGCCTCTAGCGATTTGTCTCCAAACTGCAGGGTCACATTTACCTGTGGCTAACGCAACTATGACGTAACAGTAGTACTGCAGTTGCACACTCCCCTTTTTTTATGAACCTTTGTACAAAATACTAAATTAAGTCACTCACAGCAACATTTCCTGTTATGTTTCGCCGTCCCACGGTTTTAGATGTTGTTATGGTTATCGCTAAGGTTAAAATTGAAGTTATGATTAGGGTTAGAGTTGGAAATAGGCGCTCTCTTCTCTGCGAAGCGCCCTGTCGTCGGTGAAACGTATTGACACTATCCGGCAGATAGACCGTGTAGCAGTGGCCTCTAGCGATTTGTCTCCGAACTGCAGGGTCACATTTACCCATTTACTGGTGGCAGCCAGAGACAGACAGACCTGGAGGGCCGTATGCAGAGGCGCTATGCCCCCTGGAGGGGCATGCGGAGCTGAGTGAGTGAGTGAGTGAGTGAGCGAGCGAGCGAGCGAGTGCGTGGGTGAGTGAGTGAGTGAGCGAGTGAGTGAGTGAGTGAGTGAGTGAGTGAGTGAGTGAGTGAGTGAGTGACGTGTTGGCTAAACTGGACATTGTTGAATCTAGTTGTAAAAGGAAGGCTTTGAGAAGGGATATTCTGATAAATAAAGATTTTCAACAACAGTTTCTTGCTACAAATCAACCACAGATTTGCTGGGAGTGTCTTTGGGGTTACAAGTGGTTTATTTGAGAAAGAAATAAGTCTGCATTATATTGCTGCGAAATGCCCTCGCCTTGCCGTCGGATATATTACCATATGAACGAAAACCAAGCAGATGTCAGTAGGGAAATCGTAAACAAAGCTGGAGGATTGTCACTGTATGCGATTTCCCCGCTGACATCTGCTTGGTTTTCATTCATATGGTAATGTCTCCGACGGCGAAAACTCCGCTTCTGCAAAGAAAGTGACCAGTTCTGCAAGTGATCAGCTGATCGCAAAAACACGTTTTGACGTATAACTCGAGAACGAAGAAAATTTGTTGGAAGGCAATAAGTAGGAATATAGTGAAGACCATTAGGAGTATACTCTGAAAAGAAGGAGGCCGAAATATGCCATAAGTTTTATTTTTCCAAATTTAAAAAAGCGGAAATTCATCCCCTATCACACCCCCGTTTTCGGGTCCCCGTTTCGAAAAGGGCCGTATATCGCTAACGAAGCCTCGCTCATTCCCAGATTTGGCCATTTCGCGAGTGGGGAAACGCGATGGGCTCTTATGGGGGTTTTACTTCAGGTCTTTTTGTCTCTCGTTCTTGACCTTGAAACTATTTCTGACCATCAAAATACGGGGAATTAATAAGAAATGGACTGTTCCATCGATATATTTTTAACTGGAAGCCTTTCTGTACAAGAGAGGCTTGTACGAGCGGTTAAGTCCAGAGCTTTTTTGGTCATTCACATACATTTAGAATTTACCTTCAAGACTTTAAAACTTGGCATAAAAAGGACACAAGGCAAGTTCAGCCTGGCAGCTTTTATTTTCAAAACTTTTAACACAAAACAAGTCAATTCATTAATGCCATGTACATGTACTCCTCCTATGTATGAAACTTTGTACACCATTCATATCAAAATGTGCAATTATTGTACAACACCCAGGTGGAAATCTCACAACTCTTGTCTGTAGAGCTTTTGCAAACTGGACTAAACAAATATACACAATAAGACCCTGGGGTTGCTTTTTTAAGTATCGGATAACCATCCTGGTAACCATTCCTGTATTAGACAAATCCCATAGCCCCGCCTAGCCTCTACCAGGCCTTTTTACGGGAATAAGGATCATAGAATTTGGCAAAAAAGAGAGTAAAATTGGCCAAGGGAGTCTGGCCTCGGGAAGGTACTAGTAGTTTCTTTCCCTCTGAACTGCACATCCAGTCCATGAGGCGGCCAAACTCCCCTGGCAAATATTCTCCTATATGTACTAGTATAACCAGCGGAGTTAGTCTAGTAGAGATTAAGCCCCGCCCACTTCCAGCAAAATGAAGAAATGCAAATATTTGACCGACATGTGGCTACTTTCATTGGCTGAATTGCCAACTGCCATACTGTTATTGGTTGAAATGATAATTGTGATGGACATTCAGCATCAATCTAAATGAGATTGCACAAGCACAATTATCAGCTCAACCAATCAGAAAATGGCAAATAAAGATTGAGCCAATGAGAGGGTGACCACATGACCATCAAATATTTGCATCAGGGCTTTAGCCAGCGCCCGTTTTACCGTCAATTGACGGTAATTTGTCCCGTCTGACGGTAAAAATTTTAGTCCTTACCGTCAACATTGACGGTCAAAAATCGTGGGTAAAGACATGGAAAAAATCTAGCGAATTTGAATGAGCCACGGCGCGGCGTCTTTTCCAAACGCACGGCGGCGGGAAACCTGATTTCAAGGACCATGCCGACGTCTGTTGACTTGGCTCTATTGTTCAATGTTGCTGTCTGTTAAAACAACTTGTGCTAACGGCCACATAAGAATAAAATAAAACAATGGCTCGACTCAGACACACGCTGCTAACTGTACATGACAATACGATAAATAAACATGTGACAACGAACAAAGAAATATCAAACGTTTTTGAATGATATACTGTACTTGAATAATCATACTGTCACAAGAAAACCGAGATTGATCCACACAATGTGGCCTTATTTAATCTAAAACTTCGTCAGACCTCCTTCGCGCGAAGACTTGAGCGGCAGCATAAAGATTTCTGGAGGATCGCTGACACGCGAGTTTTTGCCGGCCACGTAACTCCCTCCGCGGCAAAATCCTCTATGCCGTAGCGAAATCACGTCTCAGCGCTTCCCCAAGTCAACTTCATGGCCGCTAAAGTCCGCAAAGGAGTTGTAACTTCCTCATTTCGGTAGAGAAGCGAAGCTGACAAGTAAAATCATGTACATGTCGGCCATTTTGTTTGCTACCCGAAGTCTTCCGAACGCTCTAAATAAGGAAATCGTCGGAGATCTGAGCCACATCGCCTGCTGTCGGTCAGCGCTCGGGCCCGGCTCGGTGGAAATCGGAGGCTGTGACGTCATGAGTAGGTTCATTTGCATGGCCGCGGCTTGAATCGCGGCGGGATACGAGCGGATCAAAACAAAGGGCATAGCTAGCGGATTGTTCATTGCGTGTTGTCTCCTTGTGAGAACTGTAGATTTTTTTTTTCATTCTGCAAAATTGCAGGTTGTGTAGTTTTTTTTTTATTCTGCAATCTTGATGGGTATTTAGAACACCGAATGCATTAAGTGTGCGGGAGGGCGTGATGTCGATCACCGGATCGTGAAAGACATTCTTTAAAAGTAATCATTGACGGAATTTTTTTTTCGCGTTGACGGTATTTTTTTTTTCGCGAATTGGGTTGACCTGGGGTTGACGGTAAAAAATTTCGAGCTGGCTAAAGCCCTGATTTGCATGGTCTCTATTGTGCCCTCAGCATGTCACAGACCTGGTACCTACAATTGGGATGGATACAAGGCTATGTTTTAAGCATGGGTCACTGTAAGTAAAACATTTGATAAGTTGTCTCTACAGCAGTAAGCAAAATCAGCTGTTCCAACATTGTGCTATGTCTACTTTCTACAATTCTGCTCAATGACATATGCCTAGCATTTATATGTACAAAAGCTCAGGAAATAAATGTAAAAAAAGTTACAGTTTACAATGTTCACCTACACATTCTTGTACAGTCGCTTTGCTTGACACCACAAACCAGATTTTTTTACAACTTAGTTGCAGCACTTGTTTCTAGCTCAAGACTGTCTGAGGGAACATGACAAGTTTTAAACTAATTCACACACAGCTAAAATTTACAAAACTGCTCCCTACTGTAGCACCAGTATGTCCATACAGTTTGCTGTAAGAGTTAATACATAGACAGCAGGCACACCAAGGTAGATCTGGGCAAATAACTGCCAGATTTTATCAAAGTCGACTATCCAGTTATCACATGCTTTACAGTGAGGATGTCCTGCCATAAGCTAGCTCATGGTTCCAACTAGAGCTGTGTACCTAAACAAATTTTAGGTACAGGTACAGGTACAGGTACACAGGTTTAGGTACAGGTCCAGACCTCAACCTGTACCTGAACAATTCGACCAATTTATATGGTCTTCTGAACTCCTTCAATAACAAAAAAACATAAATAAACTTGATAGTTAAGGTTTGTTCTTTGTTTATGGCGAATGCTCAGATAAAATATAGGCAAAACTAAGTGTTTTGTTTTCATGAACACACTGTCCTTACACAGGGACCCATTGTGGACCAGCTATTTACACATTTGAGGTCACAAATAGGCATAAAATTGGTGTGAAATTGTTTAGGTACAGTACCGGTACTGAGGGAGTAGGTATTTTGGACCTGTACCTAATCAATTTTTCCGGTACAGTATCGGTACTGCGTACCGGTACACAGCTCTAGTTCCAACTGCGCATGTGCGGCATGATCTACATGTAGCAGCCAGTGCTTATCCTTTTTTTTGTAATTCTGTTTCTGTTACATGTACAAAGTGCGTGAACATCCTTGCATTATTGCATTAGCCTTGCTTTAAAAACTTCTAAGGAAGAAACAAACAACAAATTCTTTAATTTTAAAACATACACCAATGCTTTCAGCATAACCAAATAACGATAAACATTTTACTTTCACAGAATATAGTACAAGCCTGGCTGCAAAAACTACTGTATAATACAATTATGTTAAAAACAAACCAGTGGTCAAATGAACTAAAAAAACAACATCATATATAATACAGTGTGTTGTCATGTAGCAGTTCAGCTTAAAATTAAGTAGATACAGTGTAAGAACATCATACAATACTATAGCAGCCTGGTATCTATCCTATTCTAGCTCTGTTTGCATGCTCTTTTGATAGTTTTGGTCTGCCTATTTACTGGAATACACCAGAATACACATAAAGGCTGACTTCTCTGTGTACAAAACTAGCTCTTAATGACTAGCTCTTAGTAAACTTGAACTTGAGAAGCAAATGTTGAGAAGAAATGGCATTAACCAAAGCTACAACAGGATGCATTCCAGGCTACTACAAACTTAAGGCAAGTAAAAGTCATCAAAAATATACTCTATGGTGTTGTGTGGATTGTCTATCTCTTCTTGCCGTCCCTGTGGTGCATTTTGAAGTGGACCGGCATGGCGTCCAGACTGCTGCCGCTGGCGCTGCCGGCGTAGCTGCCCACTTCCTGCTGGGACGACGCTGCTCGGGACCCCCGACTGTCCCGCCCCCGCTCACGATCACGGTCCTTACCCCGACCGGACGAGTTGCGCTGCCCACTGTGTTAAAACAAACAACAGTTATTGAATAACAAATTAGCCCACGGCTAATTGCACAACTTTTAACTTGATAAAAAATAGCATTAGTGTAACCCGACGAGTTACGCTGGCCACTGCGACAAAACAAACAACAGTTATACAAATTGAATAACAAATTCTTGCCAAGGACTACATTTCTTTTGCACAAAAAGAACATTTAATTTGATAAAGAATAGCATTCTGTATATTAACCCGAGATCCCAGCCTGACCTCTGTGTCAAACAACAGTTAAACAGCAACAAACACTTGCTCAGGGCTAATTGCACTTCAAAGAAGAACTTACATTTGATTAAGAAATAATTGGTATGGCCTAAACTTAAACTATCACTCTAAACTGAAGCTTGTAAGTAACAACTCTCACTCTCCGACAAACAATACAAAATGACAAAAAAAATCCCAAATTTCAAAAATAACAGAAAAGAAACTGACACACAAGTCAAATGTAGAAACACACAGTGCCCTGCTAAAAGTCTGCACAGGAGCCTACACCTTTCCACCAATTGTAAGTACTTTTAGTACAAAGTCTACAGAACTATCCTGTCTTACCGTGGGTACTGAGGCCCGGGGGTGGGTTTGGGGTTGATGAGATGCTCCAGTTTGTAGAAGTCCAGGAAAGTCCTGGCAACGTTCCTGCCAAGCTTCATGTCTGTGGATGTCTGGTCAAGGTATATACATGTATGTAACATCATAATATATAGTGTTGTATTTTTGCCGTTGTTGTATTCTTGCCAGTTCTAGTCCCTCCCTTGAGTGGGACTAACCACCTGTTTGAACACATGCGAGATCACATGCCTGCATTGTGTTCGACAAGGTGAACTATACCACTGGCGGTACAAAGGAAGGGGCTCTAGAACTGGCCCAAAATAGTTGTAAAGTGTCTTTCCCAAGCGCACAACTTTGTGGCAAGCTAAAGACTTGAACCCAGAACCTTTAGATTCTACACGACGTGTAAATCAACAACCCTAACCAGAATACTACAACATATACCTTTTCACCTTTTAAATATAAGAAGTCCCATGTGAGAGTATGCCTCTTACTGAAGCTAGGTTACAAGTCATTTTTGCCTGAATCAAGTGAGGAAATACATGTAGGTGTAAAGTGTCTTTTCCAAGGGCACAACTTTGTGGCAAGCTAAAGATTCGAACCCAGAACCTTTAGGTTCTACATTGTGTAAGTCAACAACCCTAACCACAAGACTACAACATGTACCTTGCCACCTTTTAAACATAAGATGTGTAAGGATACAGGCTTCCTCTGTGTAGGGTACTGGCACACTGGAGGAGTTGGTGAGGTAGCTGAAGAAGGAGACCTCCAGGGTGTAACAGGAACAGTTGTCATCAAGAGCGCCACCTAGGAATCTGGATGAGAAGTGCAAGACTTTAGTGCAATGATCAACTAAATGTATGTTGAACTGGAAACAATGCTGTTTTACTGTAACAGTTACTTTCTTCACTCACTGTTTTCTATGGCATGTTATCTTTTAGAAGTATGGTGACCAGGACAAGAAATGGGCACTTTAAATTGTAAGAGAAAATGGTCACCTGAAGATACTGTAAGAAAAAATCATAAAAACTGGAGAAATTTTTCCACCATATGACTTTTCAAATATTCCAAACAAGGGAAGACATGAAATTATGAGACAATGTCTTCCTTCCATTGTAAATGTAGAGTCCTTTCCTAAAGAGGAGAGACAGTTAGAAAAGAAAATTGTACAGTTACATGTACTTATGGCCACACAAATTTAACTTCTTGCTTCTCAGATTCCCCATGTACTGTGTCCTTTGCTCCCCACTATTTTTCCGAAAAAACTTGAGAGCCAGGAAGTTAAACTGGTGTGGCTGAAACACAAACCTCCTCCCAGTGCCGGCCTTCTCATCATCCCTGTTGAAGGAAGTTTGTTCCTGTAACATGTGGGAATACACCAGGGGATCAACCATGAACGGCTGGGGTTAGATCAAGGGGGATCATCTCAGAAGTTGTCAGTCCTAAGGTTGAGGACTAAAACTTGTCAGTCCTTAAAAGTCGTCAAACAGCTCAAGAGGACTTCCAAATTTTGAGATCACCCCCAATTCTAAATCTAATACAACATGATCTAGGCAACCAGCAACTTGTCAGGAAAATGATCAAGGTTTAGCATTGGTTCCTTTACTCAAAATATGTCTAAAGTTTAAAAAATTATTGACCAGGGATGAAAACATCTATTACAGATGTTTCTCTGCGATTCATAGATTGCATGCATAAATGCCAAGGTCTTTGCTTGCTATGGACAAGACGTAGGCTTCATACATGTATGAAAATGTCTTAAGTTTTAGACTCTTTTCCTGACAAGTTTGCGGCTCCTTGACACTAAAAACTGATCTCCTTACCTCCTGCCTGTCCCTGCCTTGACAGCGTCTCTGTTGAAATTGGTGTTAGCCTGCAACACACGACACCAGCCATGCACACACAGTTAGCACAACCCACACCAAAAATTCAAAAAATAAAATAAAAATAAGGCAAAATCACTTCAAAAAGCTATTGTCTTGCATGAAGCAAGCCTCAAACCATCGAATGGAAAAAATAACTTGTAAAAAAAAAATGGTACAAATATTAGTCATAGTTAAGAGCAGGTAATTGCAAGGCAATAAGTGCAAGAAACACAGAAAAACCTGACATCTAAAATTGAACCTATCTATCTGAGTGTTACAATGATAGATATTACATGCCCTGCTTTATGAAAGAAATAATCTATATCATGATCACTTGAAAGTTATAGTTATTCCTGACCTGTAACTTAACAAGCATAAAAATCTCACAGTAACAGTACATTAAATCTTAAAATAATGAGTAGAAAATTGACTTTGAAAATCCAGTTTTGCCACCCTATAATTGCATTGGATTCCTTTAAAAGCTGTCAGCATATCATGCAGGGCTCTCCCCAATCAATGCAGCAAGCTTAGGGTGTTCCCCCTCTCCCCAAAATCCTAGTACATGTACCTCTCCCACAAAGTTCAAATTTAAGGTTTTCTCTTAGTCTTTCCATGAAAATTCACTGATTTTTCCATCAACCAATTAGAGAGCAAACTCTCCCCTAAGAATTTTTGGGGAGATTATGACAAGACAGTGCCACACAGATCAAACCTTGTCTTACCAAGGAGAAGTCTTCTGCGTTGGTTGCCTAGTAACCTAGGGAAGACCATCTGCTGCTCGAAGCGGTCCTCTTCGTCGTACACGTTCCCGTACATGAAGCCGTTCATCAGGGTGGAGTGGGCGTGGATGTCGATGTAGAAGTCAAGGTCCACTTTCTAATGACAAACAAAAACAAAAATCAGAGCAAACAAGAAATCAAACAGCACAAAAACAACATGGTCCCCTTCTCTTTTTGTGGTACTAATAAAATATAATGAATCCGTTCATCAGCGTAGAGTGGGCATGGATGTTAATGTAGAAGTCAAGGTCCACTTTCTAAGGGCAAACACCAAAAATCCAGTGTTAGAAATACCCAGGTCCCATCTGCAGTCTGCATTTTGCATAGACATTTTCAATGTTGCAGAAGAAAAATTAAGCAACCTGCAATTTTGCAGACTGAAAAAGTCAGGATAGGGGTTTAATGGTGTCTGTATGATATTGAATGTTTACTAAATAGGTGATTTTGTGCTTACTACTGACTTTATGAAATACTTATGCATGTATTTTTCAAATTGCATGTAAAATGTTTGCCAACATGCAATTTTGTATGGGTTTCAGTCAGGGTTTAAAAGTGTACATAATATGAACTGTATAATGTTTCTGCTGGTCAAGCCACCAACTTGTAATGTATCCCCTCCTGAAGTCAATATCAGTAGAGACACAAGTACAGAAGCCATGCTTGGCCTGAAATGACAGTTATAACAACCTACACTAAGCAAAAACTCATCATTGTAACAAAATTATCATATATCAACATTGACTCTTATCAAATTATCCACAAGAAGTTCCATCCATCTACAACAGACAGTGACAAAGTTACGTAACAATCATGGACTTAATTACCGGTATATCTGCACTAGACACAGTGGAATCAAATGAAGAAGGATTGAATATGATTAATTAATTCTCATAATTTGGCTGGATTCCCAGAAGACAATTGTTATCAAGACCTTCTCAAAGGTACCCAATGCAGTTTTTAGGGCTTGAAAACCAGAATTTGAAGTCAATTATAAGATTGCTTTTTGGGGGTCAGTGTATGTACTAGTATATTTTATATTCACCATTACCATCAGTGCTTCATAAGGGTTGGTTTGTGTATATGTTATGTATGTCATCAAGTCATGTATGAGCTTCTTGAACAGTGGTGGTGTGGTTATGCTGAGGTACTGCTGTAGGGCGTTGGGAGATTTTATGCATCTATACATGTATGGAATATGGAATTGAATGTTATAAAGTTTAAGCTTGAATTGAATGATTGCAGATGTCTTAAATGTAGGTTTAGGCAATCTTAAGCCACCTCCTGTCACAAGTCAGGTGCTATGGCCATGTGAATTATCTATTTGTGAGAATCATGTACTGTAAGGCCACACCCATTTACCATATACTAGTACAGTATATAGACACAGATTCTTCGTACCATTGACTTGTAATATCCTTCACCTTGTTATGTATTCACTTAGTTTTCACACAAGTCCGTAGGGAAATGATGGACATAACATAAGAAGGCAATCTCACAGACCCCCCCAGGTTTAAATTTTCCCCATCACTCAGCAAATACTGGGCATGAAGGCTAGCCAAGGGTATGTGTATATTGTGCTAAGCAATGTTTAATGAGTTAGGCAGAAATGCAGCAATACCCCAAGCCACCCTCCCAACCAGCCCTATTCTATATACAATGAACTCACTGTTCCTGGCAGTGTATAAAAGAACATCTACAAAAATTATGCTGTTTTCAGTATTTGTAGCTAATCTTCAAACAGATCTTTTGGTGGCTACAAGAGCAGGGCAGTACATCTATTTCGTATATGCAAGACAGTATACAGACTGTTTATTGTACATGTAAAATTGGCAAGGCAGTATAACTTGTACCACCCAAATGCTATTATAGCAAAAAAAAAAGAAGATACCAGTGTATACAAAAAAAGAAAGCCTGATAGAAACACGTATTTGAACAACATGTCAAAAACAAGCTGAAGCCTAATCCTCTGCTCCTAGAGTAATTCGTAGCCAAACATGGTAAGATCAGTGAACAGTGAATTGATGTACTCTTTGTGCTACACATAACCCCATCATTTCCAATGTGATAACTTTTAAAGGCCTGAAAATCATACTGCGCACAAAGGATATAGCCAATTGCAATACAAATTACAGATTAGTTTTAACTGAATATAGAAGAAACCATCTCCTTAATACATTGGAAATAGGAAAGACGACCTAAATTAACCTTTATATAATTCCCCTTCAGGAGACTACCATTGCTAAGGGATGGATTCCTGTGATACATTCTGATGCCTGTTTTCTTAGCATTTTGCTGCTGTCAAAGTAGGTCTGATGCCATCACGACAGGAGTCACATGACTCATGAAAGGTCAGAGGTCATGCCCCAGACAGGCGGAGTCGACCACGGTACATCCATCATAACTCGGCTAAGCCGATTCCGGCCGCAACCTCCGGAATTAGGCCTCGCAATCTTCAATTACTATCAATCTGCTTTATTTTCACTAATGGTACTTGTTTCCGTACGAGAAAAAAAATGAAATACCTGGAAAATGCTGGCATTTGAAACAGTGAAGACAGCATGCCAGACAGTAAATATTTTTCTGGGTCTAATCAGCATTGTAACAGTTTGGTTTCATCATTATCAACATGTTATTATATTATTTTGTTATTATATCAAATCAGATTATATTTTGTCACTACAGATGTATGATATAATATAAAAGTGGTTGCTGAACAGTAACTAGAGTCCAAGAACGCCATTGACGATTAATCGACTGGAATTTATGAAAAACTTTTATATATATTACTGACATCCATGCAGCCGCCTCTGACCCACTGTCATTCTAGTTTTTCACACTAAAGAAGGACAGGATGGCATCAAGTTTCTTTGGTTCAGATTTTTTTTGAAATTATGTTATCAATGAAGGCCTTCTCAAGAAGTTGCACAGCTAGTCTCGAACAGCTAGCTGTAAATTATGGGAATTGGAAGACAATGATTTTTCACTTGCCATAATTACAAAATACATCATTATTGTAATGATATTTCTATATACATGTATGTCATGACTAATGATGTTCCTGGGGAAAATTACTGAGTGTGAATTCATTTATTTTTGTCATATTTTTTTTGCAGTAGGAAGGAGAAGGAGATTTTAGCAGCATTCTAAATTTGTGTAGTGCAGTAATCATGCATTGGAACTATTTGCAGTGGAGAGATAGTTAATTTCATTGCAAAAAAAAAAAAGGAAAAAATAAAACCACTGCAAAAGTTTCAATTTTTACAGTATGTGATAACTGACCACTACCAACTCCCCTGAACCTCCTTGAGGGTAAAAAAGCAGCATTACTACAAAATAACGGACAATCAGTGATTTTTTCCCAATTCCTGCAATACTGAAACTGTTAATTATGCTGGTCTTGCTTCTCTGTCAGCACAAATAGGCAGCCATCACTTGAAATGACAGATGCTGGCAGAGAATGTTCAATAGAATTGGGACAAAGTTCCATGAAAACAAATCACCCTGTGAGTGAAAATCAGACCGATTGATTTTTTCGCCCCACAATTGTGTTCAGTGTCAATAATATGGAGGCTTTGGGTCAAATGATCTGAAATTTTATGAGCTGGTACTCTGTATACAGTTTTAGTTGACATTGGCCTTTTAGAAGATGGACAATGAAAGATCTTACGTAAAGGTCTTTTAGGACGATGGCATTCAACTTTAAAGTATAACATTTGGTCTCAAATGCCTTAAGTTTTATTTTGTGCATCATATTTGGGGAGTGTTTATATCAAAATGTGTGCATGGAAAGAAAAAAAGACATATTGTCGGTGCAGAATGTAGATTCTGAGAGGATATTTTTCTAGACAGTCCTGAAGTAAGAAGAATAGTGACTGAAAACTTGTTTTTGTAGCGTTTTTATTTTGTGAGGTTTTTTGCTGTGTTTAAAGCTCATGGTCAAAATGATTCTTGAAGTACAAAAGAGATGTACAAAACGCATATCTAAAGTGTTATCATTTTGTGTTTTAAGAGGACACAAACAAAACCACTGGAACATTTTCACAATTTTTACACCTGATCATCATCATATTAGTAATACACAGACTGAATACAATTCAGGGCTGGAACTCCTTCTTTTCTGCATACCTTCACTAGTGCAGAATCCATTGTAACATTGAAGATTACTTGCACCAGACAAATTTTATCTGCACCACTCAGACTTTGAGAAGTCAGTATGGATGATTCTAAAAACTGTTCAAACTGTTAATTTCTGTGTCAACTGTGTCACAGAAATAATTTCCAGGAGGGGATTTAAGACTCTCTCATTTCTGTGTCAACTCGCACAGAAATAATTTCAAGGAGAGGATTTAAGTCTCTCTCATTTCTGTGTCAACTCGCACAGAAATAATTTTGACAGGAGGGGATTTAAGACTCTCATAGCCAACATCATGATCGTCGCCAAAAGAACATATACTCTCTATGGTAAATCCTTAACGGCACACGAACGCACATAAAACCAAACATAAAATGTTCCACGTAATAAATTAAGCTTCCCACACGCTGATGTAGAATAACTCAGGGATTCCACATAGATCAAGAACAGATCAGCGGCGACAAATTTACTGCCGTTTGCTCCAGGAGACAGGTTTGAGTGACGTACCCATAACCCTCCCTTCTCTCCGACGCTGCGTGGGAAACAAAGAAAAGTTTGGAGGTTCATCCCCGACCCTGGGACTATAATCCCCACCACCGCAAGCTGATGCCGGAAGATATCTTATTGCACAATGTAGCAACAAATTGCTGCCATTTATCTGGCAACATGTCACTGCACAAGCAAATTTAGCATCCATTGGAGCAGAGAGGCTTAATTGTTGAGCCGTCACACCTGCTTGTGCAGTCTGTGGGAGGGTGAGACTGAATGCTAAACAGGGAGGTGGCATGGCGGCTCAGAACCAAGAGGTCCCAGGTTCCAATCCTATCTTCTGTTGTTGCCAATCTTGTGCCCTTGGGAAAGGCACTTTACAAGACTTGCTAAACAGGGAGGTGTGAAACTGGGCTCTAGCCAGCTAGAAATTTTTTCCATCAGCCCAGGCTCATCTTCAGGGAGGGGAGCAATCTAGGGGGGTCTGGGGTCATGTTTTCCCTGGAAAGTTTAGATTTTCAAGCCTTTAAAAATGCAATTTTCTGGCATTTTGAGAGGCAAATCATGGGTGAAACTGGGCTCTAGCCAGCTAGAAATTTTTTCCATCATGATCAGCCCAGGTTCATCTTCAGGGAGGGGAGCAATCTAGGGGGGTCATGTTTTCCCTGGAAATTTTGGATTTTCAAGCCTTTAAAAATGAAATTTTCTGCATTTTGAGAGGCAAATCATGGTGTTGAGAGTGCTTGTCGGTGGTCCTTTGGATGTTTTTATATTTTTACCCAAGATTTTGGTTGTCTTTGGCTGTCAAGGTTGACAGATTGGTTTAAAAAAATATCCGTCACACGCTGCAAAGTTCCGGTAATTGACGGAAAAACTGGTCCTGACTAGAGCCCTGATGTGAGATAAGGACTACACCACAGTGTATTCCGTATCACCAGAGGTTCCAGTCACAGGTCGGATAGCCCAAAGGCTGGAGGTAGGGGCCAAGGGTGATGAGGAATACACTGTGTGTTGTATTTTATTTATGTCATACTCACCCAAGAAAACACACATTTCAAAGTGAAATGTGCCAATATTTCATAAGTAATTACAACATCAATTCCTGAATGTCCAGTATTTGAATATTTGAAAGTAGCTCATGCACCACAGGCAAAATTGTTCTATGGAACAATTGGAAGCCTGTGCGATAACAAAATCCATGTGATACCACTAGTTATTACATGGGTTGGAACATCAAATGTTATCCTTGCCCAGGTTTGACATAAAATTTGTCATCCGTCCTGGTATTCTAGAAACTCAACTGTGGTCATTTGCTTCAATTTTTATTTCACTTTTGCTCCTATATGTATGTATCTTTTTTAAAACTTCTAAATTGCTCCTACATCTTTTTACCTTGTACACTAAGCTATTGTTTTGTCTCAAACTACAATTCACAGAAAGATCAACAATGCTGGTACACTCTTTCTTTATTATTCCTGATAAAAAGGACCATGATCTGATCCATTTAATGGTACACTGCACAGATGTCCCTGGAAACACAGGGAGATCAGGACAATCGTCTGACACCGGAGCAAACTGCGTGGGATAACTCATTTCACACCTTCTACCCCCCTCCCACTATCTACCGCCCATGTCTAATGTTTTCCCAAAAAACTGATTCCCCTGCCTCCAGACTGCGTGAAGTGTGAAATTCCTTACCAGAATACACTGCCCTTTCGTAAATGCCACCAGTCGGCCATTCTTTCATTCCAGTACAAACGCCTTTTCTGGTAACACCTTTCCATCACGTCCAGCTATAATTCTTAATTGGCATTTAAACAATATCTTCCTCCTTAACGCCGCATCGTGGATATCTATATGAATGTGCGGCTGATGGGTTCATATAAAGTTCAGTACTTCCAATATTCCGCTTCCTACGATAATTCCGAGTTAGTACGAGGCTATATTTCACACGCTGTGTGCTAGATTGTGTCTCTTGGCTCCACTACGCGGAAAGATCCACCCATGCAATATTCCACTTTGTTACAGAACGGAGAGGGCTGTGCAGAATCCTAAATAGCGCACCACGTCTTTGAGTTGTCAGTATCACCAAAATCTTTGTGGCTTGATGGAGGGTATCACTGCTCCAAGTTACTTCTTCGTGAGCGTGTGCATTACCTCGACCTTGAATAATTTACCGCCTTGCTTTTTCACTGTCAGTTTCCATAATAACAACAGCTTTGTTACAGGACGAACAAACAGTTTTGGGGCCGGTTAAACTTTTATCACAGAGCCAGTTTGATTAGAAATGAACGACAAGGGATGGAAAGGGGCAGCTCCAGGGCCTTGATTCCCTGTCTTGGTACATGTGACCCCTAAGCTCCATTTCCTGCGAACATTACGTGAACACTACGTGCCATTTGTCACTGTCACTGGAAGTAAGCCGCGGAATACTAACGGTGGTTCTACCTATAGAAGCCATGCTGTGAGATGACAGCCCATTGCACATATACATGTATACGCTCACCAGTTTTTGAGTGGAGTCACAATGAGGTGGGGGAGCCAAAAAGAAGACTTCAGTACTTCTGATCCTTTTTTTGTTTGAGGTGAACTTCTAACTAAACAGACATTAACATATTTATAACACAAAACTTTCAATGCTGGAAGACAGAAGAAAATATTGGCAGACTATGTACATGTATGATGTAAAAAATGACTAATAAACTGGTGGTACTTAAAGCTACCAAATGCGATTTCAAGAAATCTGTCTGGAATTGATTTAACTTACTACATTAAAAGAATGTTTAGAAATTTGAAAACTCAGTTTTGTCACCCTGAAATTGCATTGGATGCCTTTAAACACAGTGTAAGTTTGGCCTGGCTTCAATATATGGTTAAAAAAAAATATGTCAAAGAAACAAATTTTAGTATGATGAGTTTCTAACCTCATCTCCGTTCAGGTCCATGAGTAGTTGTTTGGTTGCCTGGAGAGTTGGGTGAGCCCAGGGCGAGGGGTCCTGCCAGTGCCGGTTCAGGTCAAAACCCATCAACGAACACCTGCAAAAAAATTAGCAAACTTTCCTTGTCTTGACTTGACTTTATTAATGGGATCCACATTTAGCATACATGTTCAAGACAGTAGCTATTCTTCCTGTGGTCCATTCTAACACATATACGACACACAGGGAATATACAAAACATGAATAATAATACATTGACAACAGTAGCGAAATACTAACACACAACTTAACACTAACAGTGTCTAAGGGGCTCCATGCAATTAGAGTCACACACTGAGAAGGTTAAAAGACGTCCAAGTGATGTAGTCTGAAGTTGAAGGTTGGCAAAGCGGCAAGCTGCCAACTCAGAAACATGACTTAAGTACAAAGATTCAGAGATACCCAAAACACTTTCTGGTAGTCTGAAATCTCTATCGAGGTAGAGACATGAAACTTGGCACAAGTCATTTGAAGACAAAAAACAGTGCCAAGTTTTGGTTCTCGATCTCTGCCAAAAGGAAATGAGTCTGGGATACTAATGAACAACCCTTGTCTACAGGACCTCAATGACCGCTCTGCATTCAACTGGCTCCATTATGAAAGTTAACCTCAGTCAACTCTGGGCTATATTGAGAACTAGTTTCCTATAAGTCAATTTGGAAAAAATAACGGTTACCGTTCAATCAAAACAAGCAAAATAGGGCCAATGCCTCTTATTCCTTTTTCTCTATCATGGTTGAAGCAGAGAAGGAGCATGGACTTTAAATTTTATCAGAGTATACAAATCATACATATATTTTCATGTGATAATGCATATATTTACAACAGTTACTCTGTTTTCCTGCCAAACTGCCCCTACAGCTTCCAGCTATGGGAGTGAGAGAATGAGTGAATGAGTGAGTGAGTGAGTGAGTGAGTGTGTGAGTGAGTGAGTGAGTGAGTGAGTGAGTGAGTGAGTGAGTGAGTGAGTGAGTGAGTGAGTGAGTGAGTGAAGACCAAAGTCTGTTCTATTTTACGGCCCAGTCTTTCAACACCTGCAATTTTTTTTAAGCTGCAGCAATTTTAGCTCCACTTCTTCTTGCCCTGCTACAATGCCAGCTCCCTCTTTGCCATGCAAAATCACTACTTCAAACAAATATTTAGTTCTTGTGTCAAGGTAAAATCATCATGATTATAGTGTTTTCTATGATTGCCTGCCTACAAAAGCTACAAGGTATGTCATTTTCCACTTCAAAGTTGATTCAGATCAAAAGGAATGTCATGCAGCTGCAAAAAATTGGAACAAAGCGTCCTTCATGGATTGCAAATACTGTAAATTGTAAAAGTTTCACGGTGGTTTTATTTTCATGGTGAACTCTTCAACACAAATTCATGACACCCCAACTTGCCAGGTTATACTACAGAATTGTATTACAAGCATTACAGCATTTATTTTGAAATCTCTACCATCATGTATTTACTTTTAAGAAATCATTGTTTTTCAAAATATCTACACTAATTCAAATCAAAATTTCAATGTAGTTAGTGTTGGAAGTTGTCTTTATATCATAATGACTTGTACCAACACAGATGAACTTTCATGCTAAGTCAAATCAAAACTTTTCAGGCAACTTTCCTCAGCCTAACAGCAATTATGGTAGTAAAATTATACCACTTATATATTAACATTTACAAAGTTAAGGCACAGTCAATGCTCCTATATCTCTCCACAGCAGTATAAATACACAAACCTGCCAACTGTTTTGGTCTGATAAGGAAAACGCAACATGTAATCCCTGTTAGGGGTACAATTTCTCTGTCAGCACCTATCAGACATGCAGAATTTAAAGTTTTCAAAAGCCTTTTGCAGATATTTTTCATCCTACTTATTATTATAATAATGACTGGTGATCTTAATTCTAAGACTTGGCAGAGGTAACAAGTTTTTTCTTAACCTACTAGTATTTTGATGTTTGTTGTACTCGTATCTAGTCTTCCAGCTTTCTTATTGTGATTAAATTTTGGAAGGAAGGGGGGCATGGCTGCGCTAAGCTGCTATATCTACAATGTACAAGTACAAAAATGTATGTAGTAGAAGTAACATAGGATTTTAGCAATTTGAACTACACAAGTCATACATTATATTTTCTTTATAATAAGTGTAATAAGTATATTACTAGTAATCAATTTTCCAAAGAAGTGCAATGTTTACTACACATTTATATCGCTTGACATGTGTTTAATTGCAACATGAATATGGGGAACAGTTTAAAACATGGTTCTACAACGTTTTCTATCACTTAATTGTCAGATGGAAAATTTATGTCCCTTGCTAGCAGTCAACCCAAAAGAGAAGGGGCTAGACTCGGTAGGTTTTTGCTAGAGTCTAGTGGGAAACACAACAGTCTTTCCCCTAGGCCCAACAACTTTGAAAACAAAAAAAGTATGCTCATAACAGATGCTTGGGCTAACTTGAAAATTACCGGAAGGAACATGGCGTAATCGGCCGGTATAACTGCCATTGATTTAGCAGCCATATTCTGCAAATGGCGAAGTCATGTCGCCGGTTCCCTGTAGTCCCAAACTGCCGTCATTAGTGCTTATAATGGCTCACAAATGGCCTAAATCCAGTTCAGTTCATTAAAACCCAGACTGTCTCTGTACTTTAGAGGCAGACGAGGGTAATAGCCATCTGTTCTGTACATTTGTAGTTTCCTGTACATGTGATGGCAGAGAATTCATAACCTCGCAGGTTTCAGCACTAAGGACAGCTCCAATGGGAAAAGTTTTACATACATTTACTGTAATTCCTGATTTTTTCATGGTAATTTTACAGAAGTGACTGCAAAAACCACAGATATAAAAGTACCACGAGTATACATCGGTGACAGATAGACATCCAGGTAATAAGATACGCCCAAAAAAGTTACTAAAGCAACTGAATATGATTTTAGAAATGGTCAGATGTTTCAGGTAGCTTCCACTACCTTTCATCAGTGACACTGGAGAGTTGTCAAAAAAGCAGTCTCACTGACCATTTCCAAACACATATCCAGTTGCTTGAGTAACTGTTTTTTGCCTCCAAAGAATAAAAAGTGATTTACAGAGCTGTGGCCTTAGTATTACCTACCTGTAGTTTCCCAAGTACACACCGTCGGGGTTGAGCATAGGGACGATCTTGAACACAAGGTGCTGTCGAAGGACTCGAGCTATGGGGTGTTGGCTCACCAAGAAGTCTATCCAACCTGTAAAAGCATTTACATAAATATATACAGTACACAACAAACATCTTACAAACATATTTTAAACTGATAGATGACTTTGGGTAGACTCCAATCTGGTAAAATTGGCGATTCTACTACTAGAGAGCCTTAATGGTAGATGATGTTTATTGTTAGGGTGGTTTTCAACCTACAATTTTTTTTCAAGTCAATCAATTGATTTAATATGATTCAAAGTTTTGACTGTCTTTTAGCAAATATCATCACAAAGACCTGTAACTGTCATTGATATGCATATCTGGTTTATCAATGACAATTAAAAGTCTTTGTTATGTTCAACCAGATTTTAAGGTTGTTCATATACATGTATAAAAGTTGACTACTAGTAGTTTTGTTAGTTCATTAGTGACACTGAAGAAGAATGGTGGATATCACTTAAAACGTCCAGAAATAATCTCCGTATTTTATATTGTAGTAGAGTTTATTACTCTAAGTACTCTGGCATTTTGCTTTCACATAAAGCACCAAGCTTAAAACGTAGTAAATTTACAGCTTTACAGAAACCCTGCAGATAGGATATTCTATTTTGTCAAACAACCATTTTGAAGACTATTTTACTTGTACTAAATGTACCAGCCTTAAAGGCCAAGCACGTAAGATGCCTGTAGGTGTGTAGGGTAAAGCAGCAGTATCTCAGCGTGGTCCAGTCGTATGGCTTATCGCCAGAGTTTCAGGCATACCTTGGCAAACAAAAGACGCAGGCGTCTCTCCAGGGTGCACACGCGCCGTCACAAATACAACTCTTTGGTTCTCATCTGGATCCAAGTTTTCTGGAGAAAAAAAAAAGGAAGTAAAAATTGAAAGCGATTCCAAACAAGTTCTGAGCTACTCTTCCACTAGTCATGACACAGAAGACAAAATTTACAGGTTCATTCCTCTAGTTTTTTTTTTTTGACATGCCCGCAGTGTTCTAGCCAGCATGAATTGTTCCCCGTCATCTCAATTTTGTTTGCTGTAATATCATGTTGAGCGTGGAAGACACAGCAATCCTGGGGGGATCTAGAGGCATGCTATATCTAGATGTCCTTAACCTTCATGTAATACCCTGGTACTTTTTACCATAATGTCTTCCTCAAACATTTCAAAACAGATTGAACTTTCTAGACTACAGGTATGTATATACTATAACCCAGAAGAGTGGAACCAATTTCATTCCTACATATCCTAGTTTGCAGTAATTTAATTTCCTCTACTTACATCACTCAGTAAACTCGATTTTCCCTGACTTCTACATTCTTGGTATCATCAATTTTTCACGACCCTCTGCCAAAACGCTGACCCAGTAACTTTTGAACAATATCACATACCGTAACTTCATCTTAACTTTGCGGGAATTAAATGTTGCAGCCTGGCAAAAATAAACAGTTTGTAGCATCCTTGAATTTGTGGTTTAAACCACCATTATTATAAAGTAACTAGTATATGACTGCACTGCAATGGGTTTGCCATCACAGGTCATAGTGAAAACTGCAAACTAAAAAACACAATTAAAATTACAAAGTTTACAGTATAGCATTTACTGTGTCAGTGTTACAATAATGATTATTGACAAGTCAGTCCTGGTATGTCCACCTGGCTTGAATCAAAACCATTAAAAACTGCCTGTAAGCAAATTTATTTTGTCAGAGTGACAAGAAAGACACAGATATGTCTCTGTGCATTAGTCACCTGAAATACTTTGCATTGTGCACGCCTGCATGTGTGACTAATTATTAAGTATGTCATAAAGTTTTATGACTTATAATGCTCATAACTGATTTAAAAATAATCCATAGCGGAGCCAAATGGTTGGGAACAAATGGTGGTATGCTCGCGATAAAGTCTTGCATAATTTATTGATGCTAGGGTGAAGAAACTTTGCTTTTTGTGTATGATATGTCTTTGTCAGAAGCAATTAACCAAACATCATGAAGTTTTCTCAACGAATGTAGTTATGTACAACGTCTACACGTCTGTAATAACTTGTATAATTCATGTTTTTATCTTGAAAGTTCATCTGTGTTGGTAGAAATCATTATGAAGCGATTTAAACTGCAATTTCCAACACAACAAATTGGACTCAACCAAATTCATGTTTTTCTTAACTTCGAAATGATAGTTCAATCATATCTCTGACGTACTATTTCCTCCCAAAGTGTATTTAGTTAAGGAAGAATTATCTAATAATAGTATGAAAAACAAATACTGTGGGGATAAGTAAATCAAAAATAATAATCATGGAACTTCTCCATAAACACTTCCTCAACAATTAGTACAGGAAACTCAGTTATTTTCAAATTAGTGTCATAGGTAAACAGAGTTCGTAATTACTTGATGGAAACCCTGTGTAATCATCTTCAGAGGGGCATGAAAATCATGAATTTTTTTTTTGCAAACTTTGTTTCGATACCTCTGCATGAGATTATCTTTTCAAGATTCATTCCTCATTTTTGCCTCTACGTATGATGCAACCCAGTGAAGGATTAGGGAAGCAATTATAGAAGACAAAATGCATTTTTCATGGTGCTGTTTTGTGAGTTTTGTAACAATTCAATTTCCTTCTTTCTCTTCTTCTTTTGTACGGCTGAGTGATTATCATCAGTTGTGCATACATGTTAGTTACATTATAACAAGTGACAAATAAACAAAGGGAAATGAAGATAAAGGCACTGAAAACTACAAAATATGACCTTCAAGAAAAGATGGTGTTCTTGAACTTTTCGCTGGCACATTAGTCTAAGAACACCTCCGTCTTGGATTTAGTACTTTCATTACATCGCAATAAGCATGGCATTCTCTGGCCTGACACTTGGAGTTGGGTACTTTACAACATCCTCCACAGAAACCGAGGACTTGTCAAATGACATCAGAGAGAACCTCGCTGGAGGATATTACTTTATGACGTTATGAAACTTTCTGGGCTGTTTTGGAGGAGAAATTGGCCCTGACTTCCTGACCCCAATAACTCAAGTGATGATTAGATTCCATTAGAATCTTATTACACAGCCATTAGGAAGGGTGACCTCAATGGGAGGCCAAGAAATCGTTGATGAGAAAAGATGCAGTAAATGCCAAAGATACTGCCAACATTAAAGGATCTACAGTTTCTGACATTTTCCGCTAAACGTTATTGGACAATAAACCATGTTGTTATAAAACATGGAAGTTTTGCAAGCAGTAGGCTCTTCTTCAGTCTGTGAACAGCTTTATCATTACTTCTGGGTACAGAAGTATTGTTTTGGGTGGCTTTAATACTGGTGAGTTTGTATGTTTCTGGTCCAAGTGGCAAGTGTTGCATAGAGGGTGGGAGGTGATTTTGACAGTTGATGACTGATGGTTTGGCCAGTTTAAATCAGCCTAAGCACACAGGTTATGGACACTTTTTGATTCTTAATCATATTCATATAGACTAAGTTAACTTAATCATTTTCATATTGACAATTATGCGGCCAATCTAAAAATAATGATTGTGTTCAACCTATCCCAAATTAGGGCTGCTGCAATTTGACACTTTTTCAAGTAACCCCCAGATATATTAAAGACATTATTCCCACTTCTCTCTATATTTTGCCTTAAGGGAGCAATGGTTCTCTAGATGAAGACGTTTTTTGCCTTTTAAGTGTCAGTTGTGCTGATTGTGATATCTCTGCTATCTAGTATCCCCACAGCTACGTATGAGGTGCTGTTTCCTAAACCTCCCTCAGATCCAATCCGACAGGCTTAATTGTCGATAAATCTCCACTAGGGGTTGAGAAAAGTAGCTTGTTTGCTGCTTAAGCCATTTGTGCTGACAGTAAAAGCACTTACTTTCACAGTGGGTTCATTTTACGGTAGAAGAAAAAGGAGGTTTTCGGGTGGTAAAGTTTGAAGTTCGTGGTTGAAACAATTTTGTAGTACAGTAGATACATGCAGATGTACAACACAAATATTTGCTGTGTTATGATTTCGCACCGAAATATTAAGCTGCTGCAAATATTTAGCGAGTTACGGTACTCGTGGCCGTGTTGCGTTTTTGCAGCGGTATGGCATCCTTGTCACGCCTCATTACCTGTTTCACTCATTTCCACGAAACTCGGCGACCCACCGGGACCAATTTTCATCGACGCAGGAAGCTTTATTAAGCTGGATGAAATGGCAGCATCCTCGCAATTTAGTCCCACGAACCCACAAATGCATCACAATGTTTTAAAGATCAGTTCACAATCTCCAACGATTCAGCAACATATCTTTACTGCATCATGCATTTTGTAAAATATTCTTATCACTACAAGCAAGTTACACATGTAGCTACTACTTGCCATATCGCAAATAACTACTATAAATTTTCTCTAATTTACATGTAAGATACAGATCATGTTTTGATCTTTCAGAAAGACATTTGACAAGAACGGAATCATGAAAGATAACTTTAATCTACACAAGTATCACAAATAAACACTACATTTGTCATGCATTTCTCTACATAATAAAATATTTGACATTCAATCCTTTATGTCAGAAAGGCAACGCAACTTCACAAAGACATTTGACAATGACAGAAACATTAAAGATGCTCTACATAAAATTTTAAAAAATTTAGTAACTCAAAATGCAATGTGAAATGTCTTTTGAGCTTTCATGTCAAAAAGAGAACATAATTTCACGAAGGATGGAAATGTGAATTCCAAGATGATTCTTTTACACAAATATCACAAACAACCATACATTTTTGTACACATATCTTTTGATCTTTTGTGTCAGAAAGACACCACGATTCAAAAAGGCATTCGACAAGGGCGGAAACACAAAATATCATTACTTCTACATGACCTCCCAAAAACTGTAACAGTATCCCCATCGTAGTGACCTCATTAACGGCAGCTAGAAGAACGAGAGTCGGGGAATTTCATCTGATCCCCCAAGTAATTGCAGGGAAATATTTTAATAATTTGCCGGTGTGTCCGACGGTCTTGTCACTTGGAGTGATGGATGTTAGGCATGAATAATTTACAGAAGTGGGTCAGATTCCAGCGTGCCATCACCACAGCACCTACAAATCTACCTACAGCACCTGTCTGCTCCAATAATGGGAAAAAATGGATGGGGAAATTGGAAAAGGGGAACATTATGGTTTATATAGGTGTCAGAAATAATTACATGCATATGGCTGAATTACACCATTTTTCTTAGTCAATGTCATTCTCATACTGGCCCTTTGGTTAAGTAACAAAATATTAGAATGGTCGCTATAGCTCTTTTGATAAGTATAGGCTTGTGGATTATGCCACATGTTTGAAGTTTGCTTTTTCTGTTCTTGAAAAAAAAAAAGAAGAATGCGACACATTGCCGATTTTACATTTTTTGTGTTCTAATATCAGAACAAAATAATTATGAAAAGATGAGGAAACAATTCATAGGATTATGTACTATTTAATATATGCTACAAAACTTCTGATTTCTACTTTTTTATGATCTTTTATGCTTTATTTGAACAAGATCTGTTTCTGGGCATAATATCTCATCTAATTTCTTATTCAAACCTAAACATGAGTAAAATGTTATCAATTTGAATTGTTAGAGTGTTTTCAATTGAAACCCTGATTGGATTGGACAAAAATTAAGAGAGTGTTAACCTTCTAATTGGCCAATGGTTGTCCTTCAAGCTGCTGATTGGCTCAGAGAAACAAGCCTTCTTATTGGTAGATGAGCTAAGGCAGCTGATTGGCTGCCTTGAGTAGTACTTACCAGGTGCAGTGATGGTGAGAAGGTCCAGTCTTCTTTGTTGCTGTAATAGGAAAAAAAAAACAGCATCTGTTAGTAGCTGTCAAAACTTTCAATGTAATTAGATCATGTACTCAAAGTCTAACTATGTATTGGTTTAGCAAAGTTGCTTGGGGCTCTAGCACCATGCAGTTTATCTGCCAATTGCAGGAACTTTGTGGCATGTGACGGAAAAATTTTGAAACCAATCCGTCAACCTTGATGGACAAAATTGACCAAAATCTTGGGTAAGAATATAAAAATATCCAAGGGACCACCAACAACCACTCTCAACCCATGATTTGCCTTTCAAAATGTGGGAAATTGCATTTTAAAGGCTTGATTTGCCCCCAGACCCCCCTAGATTGTGAGCATTCTCCCCCAGGTCCAATCATGAACCTGGGCTGATAGAAAAAAAAATTTTGAGCTAGCTAGCGCCCTGAAGTTGGTGGTGTGAAAGTTCTTGAACCTGACCCCTGCATGCTGTAATGAGCATGGCCCACCTGTAGTGGGTCACATGATCAGATTGATTGATTGTGATTGGTGGTTGCCCTTGGCAAACTGGCGGGGGTGGGGGGCAGATACAGACAGTCTGAGGAGACTTTATATCTAAAGGGGTCTGTGTTATATGGCACTGGCAACTGTGGATTAACACGAAGTCCAATGTAGACAGAAAGCAGACGCAATAAGACAGTCATCACAGTTTTGGCTGATGCTCTGTCTAGACAGATTAATACAACAGGAATGGGGAGTAAATACTAACAGTAACAGTAACTGTTATTACAATCACCATACTGAAAGTATCTCAATCGTTTCATCTACTTTGTTCTTAATGTTTCATAAAAGATTACATCCAGTAGTGAGCAGTTTTTAAATCTCAGTCTTTGATATGTTTCTTTCATCAGTTATAACACTTTGACAAACCAATGTTTAGGGGGATGGATGATTTTTTTGACATGTGACCAAAAGTAGATGTACGGTAGCATCAATGTCCTATCATCCAACGTCTGTATGATTGCATTTTTTTCACTTTCGAAAAACTTTCCATTTATTCTCTGGAATGATAATTCAATTTCCCCACATAATCATGTACATGTATATGTAACCAAGACTAGTATCAATGTCTTTATAATTAAACAAAACTTGTCCTGAAAAACCGTTCTTATCATATTAAATATCTTCCATTCTGTACATGCAATTTTTGTTACTTTTGACCAACTTCAAAATGTTGGCTCCGCGATGATGATTTTTCCTGACGTGTGGCCAAAACTAGTTATCAGGGTTGGCGTCCCTGGTGTCCAATACTATAATCAATCACTCAGCCATTATTCAATAAGCATCTAACAGTCAGAAGGCCCCTGTAACTCATAGCTGTCTGCTGGTCAAACATTCAGCACAGGTAACACCACCCATCAATATTGGCCAATGAAAATCATTCATGCATGATTCCCATATTGGAAAAGTCTCAGTTAATCTATAGCATCTACATCTCCATATATTGCATTTTATTCCTTGGAGCTTAAAGTAAAAATAGGACATCATTTGTGATGACAGATATCACAGTTAAAATCTCAAATAAAGTTATGCAAGCCAAATTAAAGGTATGTGTATGAACAGTTACTGTAGTTTTATTCTGTTGAAAAGTTTCACTTATCATATAATACCAAGGTTTCACTACTCTCTCTCTCTTTATCTCTTTCTCTCTTTCTCTCTCTGTATCTAAGTCAAGATTCAAAAAGGAAATGAGGTAGCCTTTTCTGGGACCTTTGATCTAACTTCCTGTCAGTTTCCCCTACATTGTACTTACCTAGCTTAATAACTACTGACACACAGATGCACTGAATTAAAACCTTTCTTTAAAGTGATAAAAACAGTTGGTAAAGTACTACATAGTATTACACATAAATAACGAAACAGTAAAACATTACACCTGGTCCTATAGTTTGATGAAGATTATGATACATTTGCAATCTAACATGATTGCAGGTCAGTGAAACTAGATATCAGATTCTGATATATTATGTACAGCCGATATGCTACTGTGGTATTGAGTAAAGATTATCTCTAAGTAAAATTCAATAGAAGCAATAGGCAGGTAAGTGAGGATTCCTGAAAAGCTGAATATGAATGAGAAAAGACTTAAAGCGCACTGCCGATCTCCCCTTTACATCATGCGAGATCGATAAATCGGTTTGGTCCGTTTTGCGTAATTCTTCCTGATTCAATGGATAAAAACTTGTCAGGCCTGGTCATCTCTTACACAATGTGTCACAGATATTGCTCTTCTGTGAATACTCATGCACAGGAAAGGCAAAATCAATGTGCAATTGACAAAACTGATCTGCTAAACAATGGTGTAATTTCAGGCTGTCTTTCCCTTCGCGAGCATCCCGTTCGAATCGGCACTATCTGACCAATCCATCCTATCTCCCGATTATGTCTCTCATTTAGAGTGGCAGTGGCCTGGAAAAATCATTAACTAAGTTTGGCACAGAGAACAAATGGGAAATCAATATGATTCTTGTTTTTTGTCCCCACGCAACCCTGCTGATGTAGACAGGCTGGTATCCACGCATGGACAAGCACGATACCGGACATCCACGCGCCCACGCAGAGCACAACTGATAGCCTTTACATCCCGAAATTCTGGCTAATGTACTGTAAATTCATTTACTGTAAATCGCGATTGTTTCACATATTTCACGGTCACTTCTGTACCCAGAACTTATCATTACCGTGAACAAGTGATTTGCCGACTTTTTTTTGCTGCACCTGCTGCCACTGTGAAACGTATAGTTCAGCAAACATGTCCATTTCCCTCACCGCAAACTTTTGCTACCACGAATATACATGTAGAGTGATTTACACTACTTTAATGGTGGTTCAACTTTCCAGTGGAGAGAGAAGATTCAAAAAGGAAATGAGATGGCCTATTCTGGGACCTTTGTCCTAACTTCCAGTGAGTGGAGAGGTCACCGAAAAACAATAAAACCGCCACAAAAGTTTCAAAATTTACTGTATGTCAACTGTTCCGGTTAATAACATCAAGACTGAGGATCTAAAGGCATCCCCGAACCACCACAGACATTCCCATATATCAAAGTGGATGGAAGACATTCAGACAAGATTTTATCATTGGCAAATATCATAGAGCCCTGTAGGATAGGCCCTGGGGACACACCAATAAATGACTAACATCATTTCCGCTATCGATCTTCTGCGGGGGAATTCTGCCCATATTTGGTGAAGTATGTTGTTGGAGGCAGATGACAACGCACCGTGATGACCTTATTTGGGCGGTATGACCCCTAATCCAAGCTAATAATAGCTTTGTGCAAAATATCGGTTCGGGACAACCTGTGTGATCATTCGGTGGTCATAACTTTATACCAGGCACAATAAAAGATCAGCTATGAAGCTGAACTTTCTAACTGTATATTGTTATAATATCACAGTTATTGTAACATAACATAACATCACAGTGATTTAGTATTTAAAGTGTTTTGGGCAGCTCTGGTTCAATGGTTTGTATATTATACATCACGATTATGCAGCATTGTTGTGCAAGTGCGTCAGTATACAGATACATTAAAACTTTGACGATCCTGCATGAACAACATTTACTATAACTTTTACAGTGGCATTAGATGGCAGTATTTTGCTACGATGTTTTGTATTTATGGTGAGGAAACATTCAAATTCAATTTGCATGATACTAACAGGGCATCAAGTTTTGTATTACTTAGTATTCAAAGTGTGATGATTTAGCAAAGGAGAGTTCACCATGAAAAACATGAACACAAAACCACCGCAGATAGTTCAAGGGTCGCGGTCAAATGTGGCAAGAATTGCCTGCGACAGTTTCTTGGACAAGTCTAACATCCTTCTGTCTGGTCGGGTTTGCTGCGGTGGGAACGTTGTGACACTGTGGCTAACCTCCCTTCCATATTCCGGTGTGCGCTTGGCCACTTTGTCAGAGGTGCACCAGGGGTCAAAACATGCATTCAAACTGTGCATTTACGGCTTTACATTTGACGCATCTACGAAAGGTCAAAGAAGCCATTCTCCGCGGAGATAAGAGAGAGCGTATCCACCTTGATGATTCGGAATTGAATTGTCATCCGGGCAACGTAACATCTTTTGACAGCGCGATGTTTTAAGATGTGATCATTACTTGTTCCTGCCCAGCGAAGACTTATTGAATCCGACGCAGTATGAAAAGTGAGAAATGAGCTCGTCACTGAACTATAAAAGAGGAAGTGTAAAGAACCCTGGGTTAATCACTGTTACTTTCCCATCGTTGAGTTTTGCTTTCGGCGATGGCTGATGGCAGTAGTAAAAACCGGTTTGTGGTTGGAAAACTGCTACCCTGCCAAATTCCGAATGCTTTCAAGGCATTTGAAATGCTACTTTATTGGTGCAGTGGGGGGCTGTACGACATTGCAGCTTAGCATTTGGATGCGGCAATCTATCACCCTATTTTACTGTCACCTGGAGTCTTGGTACATGCCACTTAACGGAGTCTCCAGGCGCATGTATAACCCAACAGAGACGCACGCCAAAGCCACGTCTATCACCCACACTCATGACAAACTTCCCGACTACTTCTCAAGGTTCCGCGCAGTCATTCCATCAACGCAAAGCAATTGGTCTTGCCAAGAGCAAAAGCCCCTCTTACGTTTTCAGATACGAGGCAAATGTTTCGCTGAAATGAGGGATCAAGCCCCCTCCTCCTCGAACGCTGACCCGTTCGGATAAACGTAATCATTTCGTCCTAAAACTTGTAAGTAGTTTTGAAGCACTGCTGCTTTGGGCTCTATTACCTCTGCATAACAGCAACAGCCCGGCATGAAAAGGGCAGCGGCTCATCATCATTGAAGCAATGAGGTATTACATACAGATAGGGCCCACTGATTGCCTATGGAGGCAAAAACCATCTTTCTATAAACTCTACTCAAACCCACCCATTCAACATTTTCACAATAACACTCGATAAAATCTCACCAAAACTAACACAAATTGCTT